CTGCTGCGAGGTACTCTGAGCATTGTCCAAGCCCTTGGCTTTGTAGGACTTGATGCACTGCGAATAGAAGGGAGATGCCAACGTTGATGGAGTTCTGAACTTCATCTTGAGGAAGGTATCGAAGACGGTGCGAATGGATGTCATCATTGCCAATGCCACCGGATCGCTGGGAATCCAACGTCCAGCCCATGTCCTGGACACTTTGGGAGCTTTGGCAACTGGGCCGGTGCCATTGCCATCGCCATTCGCGACCTTGGGTTCCTCCCCGGTCAACTCCTCCTTCTTTCCGTTGTCCTCCTCGGTCAACTCCTTCTTCTTCTTGTTGGTTCCCTGGCGAGGTCGCTTCTCAGTCTTGGGCTCTGACATCTCCTTCTCACCCTTCTGCTTTCTGTCCTCCTTTGCCTTCTTGGGCTTGGCGGCTTTTTTGGTCTTTGGGTTTGCAGGTGCACTCTCAGCAGATTTCTCCTGAGTCAACTTGGCTGCTCCTGAGGTTTTGGCTGAAGCAGGCCGCTTCATCATCCGAGTGCGGGTCTTCTTCTCCTTGTTCTCCTCCTTGTCTTCTTCGTTCCCCGGGACCTTCTTGCCGCGGCGACGACGGCCAGACGTTTCCGGCTTCCCATCACCATCACGACCTTCGAGCTGATGCTCTGCAGTCCCGAATTGTTCACGACGGGTTACCATAGGAACCTCCATGGTGAGTTTGGTCAACTAATGGCACAATCACCCTTGAAGATGTAATGTAGTCAATAATTGTGGAAATCTGATGTAATTTTGAAATGTTCTTGAAACAAAATATATAACATAAGCAACACTCCCGGGGTTGAAGTTTCATTTTGGTGGTTTTTTTTCTGGTCCTGGGATTTGAAGAATCAAGTGATTGGGGCCCAAAAATTATATATTATATATAGATAAGATCAATGAATTGTTGGGCTAAAACTGAGTAACTGATAACAGCTATGAAGTACATGCCACTTAAAATCACAACCAGAATGCCTCCTTGTCAAGAACATCGGGTTCTTCATCCGGTTGTGTGGCAGGAATATCTTCTGGATCCACAGTGCCGCATGGAGCTGAAGTCTCTGAAGCAGGTCCGTCCCCAGCAGCTGCTGCAGCGGATGGGGGCTCATGGTCACAAGCTTCCTCCTTCACCTTCAGCGGAGAATCCTGCAGGGTTGGCCGCGCCAACAAAAATCTCAGAATGTTTTTTTAGTTTACCTCAGATTTCAATCTCCACCATGTTGAAACTTAATTACATAAGTTGATAACCTTCCGTACGCCCAAAAAATATCAATCATGCACCACATGACTTTCAGAACCTGTGCCTCAATCTCGATCGTATCCATTCCCAGAGCAGGTGGTGGGACAGGCTCATAAGGCAGTGTGTCCACGGTATCAATACCGGCGGGTGTACCTTCAGGGCCCCAAGTCGAACAGTGTAAACATATTATCTTATCTTATATTATATTATATTAAATTATATTATAATATATTATATCATATTGTATCATATTGTATCATATTATATTATATTGTATTGTTTATTGTACTATATTAAATTATATTACATTATATTATATTATATAATATTATATTATGTTAAATTATATTATATAGTTATGTTATCTTGTTTTATCGTAGTTTTTTGGGGTCCCGAACCAACCCCACCCAAAGATAAAAAATTACACCGTTCCCACAACAAGCAGCAGAGATTCGCAGAGCTTCTCAAACGCTGCAGTTTCTCCGACTCCCTCTCTGCCATGCGTTCCCTGAATTGGGCCGACGGGACCACTAGGCATGACACTACAGGACATGCATCCCAAATGTGACTATTATATCCTTTTGGTGTTGGCTTGCATCTCTATTTTGAAGGTTTGATCACTATATACCACCAAAAGATTAGGAAATCACTTGAGGGGAGTTTTTGGCAGTAAGCTCGGCCTGATCTGCTTCAATCTGAGTTCCATGTTGGCCCTCATCTCCGCTTTCTTCTCGATGGCCGCTTTGCTAGGCACTGGTGGTGGGGGCATCGACGGTGCGGTCGAAGCTGTGCTCGGACACCCAGATGTTGGGCTGACACCCAAAGGTACTGGACCAGGTTCTCCTCCCGAAGTAGGCCCTTCAAGTTCAGGATCTGAATCTGTGCCAGGGGCAAACTCTTGCTCTGGTTGGGAATCTGGTTCCTCGATGGGCTCCACATCCCCCCCCGGTTGGGAATCCATCGGCAGGGAATCCATTGGTAGGGAATCCATTGGGTAGGGATCCGGCTCACGCTGGGACTCTTCAACCTCCACCACGGATGCAAAGTCCTCCAAGAGTTTTTGGTTTGACGGGTCTTAGAAAGAACAAGTAATAGGAACATGTTTTGATGTTTCAAGCTATTTAGTTAGTTTTTTTTCAAAACATATGCGTGGGCGATGTGGGAACTCACATCTCCTCAAAAGTCGTGCCATGGGGAATAGTCGGTGGGATGTGACGCTCATGGACTGCACATGGTGACATCTCTTCAGGAGTCTGTTCTGGTTGAGTAGTTGTAACTGATCCATCATCAGCAATGTCCTCGCTGCCATGAGCACCTGGACCATCAACAGCATCACCGGCAGCACCCCAGGAACTTGCAGCATCGGAGCCGTCGTGGTCACCATCCTCGTCATCAACGGTGCCATCCCTAATGGCGAGAAGAAGAGGGTTGGCTGGGGCAGCTCCACCGTCAGCATCACCATCAGCAGTAGGAGGGGATCCCCAAGCAAAGTCAAAGACATCCCAAAGAGGCTGCAAAGCCGAATCCTCACAATGGCCGCTGTTGATCGAATTAGCCATCCAAATCAGTTTCAGTTTTAGACATACCTATCCTGATCCCCATCCAGATGAACTTTGGAATACTTATCCCAATAATAATATTAGTAAACTGTTACAATAGTTGGTGATTCATTGGTATATACTATACTCAAGATTGTTTTAGATGTATAATATAATTATTTCGACTATTTGTTATACTTGGCCTGTTTCGACCCATAACTGCGGCAAAAGCGCTCTGGGGTTGACAGTGCCAGCCAACCAGCGACGCAGCAGGTGGGTGAAGCACCGCTTAGCCCCCCAAGAGTCCACATAAACCTTTGCCGCATCAGGCTGAAAACACATGAGGTTTCGCCACTCAGTCACCTGATAGGACGAAGAGAAGTTGAATGGATTTAAACATAGGATCACATGTTTAGCCAGGATGGGGTTCACGATGTTGAACTTGACAAAACTTGATCAAATCAAACAATAGTTATGAGATGTTGCGGGTTGCAATGTAAATACATAGGTCTTCCAATGTATGTTGATTCTGCTCATGAATTTCCCTGTAATGTCCCGGTGGTTTAACATTTATGAAACCAGCCTCTGCCCTCAGACGGTCGATGTTGATGGCTGATGGTTGGTCCGTCATTTGGACCCACCATTTCGATGTCACCAACAGCACGTCAGCGTTCAAGGAGCAGGCTTTCATAGAAGCTACCCCAACACACTTACTGTCGGGCCATCTCATGAGAGCATCACATTGGCGCCCTACATTGCGGATAGTGGAATCCGATTCCCAATCACGTGCCAACATTTTGATGGAGATCTTTTCCTTGAGCTGTAATGGCCGTCTTTTTTTACCACAATTCAAATGAAAAATCAGAGACATTACCTTTGATCAATCATGCTGGTGATAACCGCACATCAGCCCCCACTAGCCCAGTCCTGCAACATTTGGACCACCAGCTTTCCATGCTTCCAACAGTACCTGCTGAGGTTGAAGCCCTGCTGAGTGCGAGGGGTGGCCCTTTAGAAGCTGGCAATGACAATGTGAGAACAAAAGGGGCGCACGTGAAAACTTTGGTCAGCTCAGGAGATATTCCACATGCTTTCAGAGCCAGAATTGGCTAGGAGATGAAAGGAGATGTATTAGGGTGTGGGAAATGTGAATAAAACCCACAAAATTGTCAAAATGCAAAAATTGCTCGAAGGCGATAAAGATTATAACATTGGGAAATTACAGGAAATTCTTGAAAGAGCAGAAAAAAGACATACATTGGAAGACCTAGGTATATATGGTCACCGACAGAATTATGGAAAAAAATAAAACGTTCAACTTAGACAGGCGGCGCCTGCGTCCGATTTTTCCATAATTGGATTTTTCCCCATAAGGGTTCAAAATATCCCGGAAGTGATCCGAACCTTTTTTTTTCCATAATTCTTGGAGGTGGCCATTATTTCCATAATTGATTTTTCCTGTGAAATCAGGGGGCTAGGGCAGATTGACCGGTTTTTCCATAATTATTTTTTCCATAATTAATGTTTGGGGCTCCACCTGTTGGACATGTCATGGATCCACAATTCAAACCCGTTTTTTTGGGGGTTATGGAAATATGTATGCAAATGCAAGTATGTAGTATCAACCCAATTGGTGGCTTGGCAAAAGGAAACATCCAGATATTATGTATATCAATGGCAGGCTTTAGGGGCATATACCAGATCTTTAGACACATATTTTCTATAATTCAATATTCCCCCTTAAAATGCATTCAAATTGCGAACATCACATGATATTATGTATATCAATGGAAGACTTAGGGGCATATACCAGATCTTTAGACACATATTTTCTATAATTCAATATTCCCCCTTAAAATGCATTCAAATTGCGAATCGATGGACATACAGTCACCGACAGAATTATGGAAAAATAATAATTATGGAAACAATAATTATGGAAAAAAAAAAGGTTCGTAACTTTTCTATCATAGACAGGCGGCGCCTGTAAATTGAAACGTTTTTTTTTCCATAATTCTGTCGGTGACTGTATATATATATATATATATAAATTTCCTTACCATAATTGGATATATTTGGGGGAATAAACATCCCATTCGCCAGCTATAAAAAGGGGTACCATCCAGGTACCAGGGGTTTGATCAACCAGATCCCTCCAGATCCGGAAGCCCACCGACCCACCGATCAAGTTTTCGCCTAGGGACTGGAGCATGTTGAGTTTCGTGCCTTCAGCCTGAAGCTGCATTCGCACCTTGCAAAGGTGCGGTTGCGGAATCTGAATGTCCGACATGGTGCCCCAGTGAATAAACCAGTTCGTTCAGTTGGTTTATTTTGCTCATAGAACTATAATGTCTATAATTAGAGTCTATATGATTTTATACGGATATGACCATTGTCAAAAATTAATACAGTAACCATTGGACCATTGTCAGCTATTATTAACTCACTATTAACTCACTATTTGCTGAGTTAACTCACTATTAACTCACTATTATCATTGGTTAACTCACTAATCACCACTGTTAACCAATAACCACCACCGTTGCAGATGTGCCTTGATGAGATCCAACGGATGCGCGCAGGCTCCACCGATGGCTGCACCCACTGAACCCTGCACAAAGCCCTGGCTTTGTCGATGGTTTTTGCCATAGGATCTATAAGGGGCATTGCGGTTCAGCAATTGATTGAGATGTTTTTGACTTGAGCCAATTGAGTTTTATATTTCCATGTGCTAGATCAGCATATTTAGTTCGTATGGGCATCTTGAAATCTTTATAACTTGTTCTTCCTGCTACATAAACCCAAAACAGCATCTTCTCTTGGGTTGGGGCCCCATGGGATCCGTGACCATCACATGTGCCAAAAAAACAAGCTGATTCATAATTTATTATATTGGTGGCTTCATTTCCCACCATATCAATAGGGTATAAGATAGTATCACATCACACCACATCACATCACACCACATCACATCACACCATATCACATCACACCACATCACACACATATGCATAGAATTATACAGAGATACATTCATTATATCCCCATGATGTTGCTGGATGTTGCTGGGCCCAGCAACTAAAGGAACTCGCCGATTTTCCGCCTTCCAAATCTGTGAGTTCTTGGACTTCGTCTGCCCCGCAGGGGTTCGAGGCAAGCGCGCCTCCATGCCCATGTGAGGTGCCTGCCCCAGCTGCAGCTGGAAGTTCTTGGCATTTTTGAGTGGAAAACCATGGAAAACCCTGGGAATCTATGGAATCTATGGAATTGATTTTATGGCATGCTGTGATGGGAAACCATGGCTTTGGCATGGTTTTGGTTATGATATGTGTTCTCCATGGTTATCCACTAGGTTGTTTCAATGGTATGGGTGTTGTCTTGGCGTCTTTCCGTTGACATTCTCTTCAATTGAAGGCACCTGATGCATTGATACGACATGATATATGACCAATTTCCAAGGCCAAACATCAGTAGAAACAAACTCTTCGGAAGATCAAGCCGTCCCAATGGGATCCCCTTCAACGAGCCTCCTTAGTGGCCGCCATGCTGGCCATGCTGACGGTCGGGGAATGACCTGGGCAACCTCTGAGCCAAAATCTGCAAACATGCGGCGCGTCTGATGGATTTGAGGCATCCGATGGCATCTGAAAACTTTCCATTAATCAATGGATTGGCGGAATGGGAAAATCTACAGGAAGCCATGTTCCCTTAAAATATGGGGGGAGTTCCTGTAAAGTTTCCCTTAAACCAATCCATTGAATCAACGATTCCGACAATCGCAGCCACAGTGGAAGATATATCCTGAGAGGACCACAGCTGCTCGCACATCAGCCACTGGATCTGAGAGTCCTCAGGTTGATGTGGTACGCGCGATAAACTGATCACAACCTACCGGTTGGGGATGGTGTTTTCTTACTATACCCATTTATGGTGATATTGGAGATTGGTGGAGGTTGGTGATTTTCGGGTTTACCTCTTTGTACTTTTGATGACTGACCCTTCCGTGGCACAAATTTGCAAGTGCTCAAGCCCAGTGCTCAAGCGGCTTAGCCCCAGACGTTCGAGTAGCCCTTCAGTTGTGCGGACAAGAACATCCTTAGACATAACAAACGCCGGGTCGCTGTTGAACACAGTCTGTCCTACAGTGCTGCTTGGTAAACAATTTCGGAATTAAGGTTCGGCGTTTACATCCAAACAGCCATGACATAATTTTAGATGCCCTGAAATGGAGCTTATGCGTAGCTGAGAACTACACCCTCCCGTTTATTCACAATAGAATAACATGTATATTTACACATTGACATACTAACCCATACTGTTACTACTTAACCCATACTAACCCTCAGTTCATGCCAGCAAGTCTCCGTTTGACCTGTGACCTGAGCCCTGCAGCCTAGGAGCTGGCAAACATCTGGAGATCTGCGACAGAATCGACACTGCCGCCATGCCTTGGTGCTCTCCGCCGGAGTTTATAGACAGATGCACAGACATATGTGTATATATATATATATACATAGATTCTTAGATGATGAATAAATTAATCACATTCATATATAGCAGTCTACCTTTGGATGATTTAAGGATGTGATGTACCCCCAAAATGCCATTTAAGCTAACCCCCGTTCTGCTCACATCTTAATTTTGCCACCCAACCAAGGGATCCAGTTTGCTAAGCGATCCAAGCGCACTCGGGAGCTGGTGTGACTCAACTTCTTCACGACCTTGGGTAGAGTCGTGAAATTTCTTGGATCTGATAACTTCAAGATCTTTGAGGTGTGGATAGAAAATGCCTTTCAAGTGAGATCACCATCGCGACTGGGATGGAAATAGATGAATACAGAAGATGTTAGAAGTCAGAAGGCATTTAAATGTGGTGAGGTCTGCAGCACTGCAAAGCTCCAATTTTTAGCACCACATTGACATTGACTGATGCAATAGACCCATACTACCTCAACCGGGTGGGTCGCCACTGCTGGCGCTTCAGTTCTGGACCTGCAAATGCTGGAGGGCTGCAGTCATGACATACTCAACAGTCGCCACGTCCAAGGATGCTAAGGCCTTCTCCCCCTGAATCGTCTGCGCTCGGCCGGTTGTTGCAGCTTCCACCAATGCTTGGCTGGCTACTGAGGAGGCATTGTGCCCATTGGGGGGTGGGATATTCAGGATCCCTCCTTCATAAAGCTGTCTCCAGACCTCTTGGACCGATGCGTTCATGTCGCCGCCCTTGCCGTGGGTCCCGTTCATTTGATCCTTGCCGGATCCCTCAGGTCGTGCCAGCGTTCCAAGGGTGGGATGCCTTACAGGTACCCAGGCATCCTCCCCAAAGGCCCGGCGCCACTGGTGCGTCGCATCCCACTCAGCCAGAGCAATCTTTTCTCCAGGTCGCATGTACCTCAGCACCACCGAACGCGTGCAAGGCTCTCGGCGTACTGCGATCATGGGGGAGTGAAGCACAACATGCGGGGTACCCACATCCACATCAGTGCCATTGGCTGGGAATTCGTCCTCTGGGGCTTCATCCTTGGCCTCTTGATTTTTTTGGGCCGCAGCTGAAGGATCAGCTGGAGTCTCCAAAAGTTCATTGTCCAACTGCCTCGAATCTACTTCCTGCCTCTCTAAATCCCTCTCTGCAGCTGGGACGGTGGCACCTTCGTTCACGGGCTCCAAAGGTTCCAATCCAGGCTGTTGGTTCTTTGGGGAGTCTTCCATCTTTGGATCAAAGGTACTTCCATCAACTTCTTCCTGCTTCCCATCCTCGAACACAGCTGGCCCAGGTGACTCAGGTGACCCAGGTGAACCTGGAAGATTCTCATGCTGCACGAAGGGATCCTGATCTTCACCATCGGCATTGGGCTCCTGTCAGCTTTCCAACTGAAGGGATTATCCCAGTTTTCCATCAGTTTTGTCCCATTGTCCATTCAAATGCTCACATAAACATCCCAGAACATCCCCTTATACTCCATCATATCCGCGACGAAAGAACAAAAGAATGTTTGGATGTCCAATCGTGTTTTTCCCATCCAAAAAATGTCCGTGAAGAAATCAATACGACTCCAAATACTGGAAAAAAAAATACTTTGCTTCGAGTGATCCCCACCATGACATTTCAAAACAGCTTGTTGACACCACTTTTGTCTGAAGCTTTTGTCACGGGACTTTTGCCCAACTAACTATCCCAATCATTTGTTTCACCTGGCAGGTCATTGTGCATGTCAGTCTGTCAAACAGGATATAAACATGTCAGTGGGCCATGTGAAGTAAACTCCAGAGCTCTCAACAGGTTTGCTTAAACATGACCAAACAGGCCAGTGGACCACCTGAGCCAAACAAACAAACATGCCCAAACATGTCAGCACACCGCCTGTCAAACATGTTTGTAAAAACATGACTGAAACAAGCCAGTGGACCACCTGAACCAAAGTCAAAAGCTCGCAAGCTCGTGTGTAAACTAGACAAAACCATGCCAGTGTTACTTCACCAGATCGCTGCAGCTGCAACTCTCTATTCCTCCACCAGACCTCTTCAATCAAAACCGATTAGGTCCCACAGGTAGAGCAACGTGTCAGGCCTATGCCTCCCCCGGGCCTCTTCAGTCAAAACCGATTAGGTCCCACTGGCAGAGCACTGTGTCAGGATGCTTGCAATGCATCATAGACAGGCCAGGACTGCAGCCGCTCCAGCGTCGAAGCAGCTTTGGTTTCCAACTTGTCAGTCAGTTCTCGCAAGTAGGTAGGAGGGCCTCTGCGTAAAAGCTCCTCCACTTGCTCCGTGAACCCCAGCAAGATGAGATTCTTCAGTTTGCGGGCACGCGTCAGCATGACATAGATGGCTAGCCACCAGTCGGCATCCTCTAGGCCACCACCACGACGCAAATCAACCAGCACACCTCCGTCCAAAGTCAAGCCTTGCGCGCTGTAAGCAGTGCGCAGCATGCCATGCAAAAGAGGAAACTGCCAGCGAATCACTTCAATTTTCTCGGTTTCCTCGCCTAGCTTCAAATCAATTTTGAACTCTGCATGCACCAATTCCACAAAGAACAATGTCTTTGCGTCAGTTGTGTGATCGGCCACATTCTGAAACTTTTCTTCCCACGTCTGCAACAGAGCATCTTCCATGGGCGAATTCTTTCCATTAAGTAATTTCACCCAGATACCTTTGGCCATTTAGTCCGGAAAAAAATGACAGAATCCAGGTTCCCGACGGTCCAGGCGCTTCTGATCTTCATGGTGCAAATCCACTTTCACTACCACTGCCAGTTTGTCTTTAACCAATCCAAGGTGTGGAGCCAAGACATCCGCCAGTCGCACAACCATGTTCTCGTGCACCAGTAGCATGCCTTGCAATTTGCCAGTGCGATGCGGGTTTGGAACAGTGAGCAGCTGATGTGTCAGCTGCTTGTCTATGGCTTTATTTTTTCTGGAATGCCTTTGGTCAGCAGCTTGCAAACAAAATAACGGCACATCCAGGTCTTGCGCATCTCGATTTGCCCGTTCCACCATGCTGCGAGCAATGTTCTCCCAATACATTCCAATGACGTGACCATGCTTGAACAAGTCCGTGGTTAGTTCTTTCTTGCAATTTTCGATTTTGCGAGTGCGCAGCTGAGCCAAGTGATCCTCGGACAAAGGAGCAGCAGGCGTGCACGTGCGCATGGCTGTTGTGATTTCTGGCAGGTGAGCATCCAGAAACCGCTTCGACTTCTTCAAATGAATCACTGTATCAATGGTCATCAATGCCGCCTGGGCAGCATGGTGTTCTGTCTGCACTCTGTGCGGCATTTTGCGGATCAGCTCTTCGAGATTGTCAGCTAAGGAGATCTCGTTGGCAGGCTTGATCTGCAAAAAATCACCTGCAATCAGCAAAATTGGTATGTGTCCCATGAGCTCTCCTGGGTGGAAATAGCTGGCTGGATCAAGGCCTTCATCTTGACGGGCGCGCATGCTGCGGTAAAGCATCATGTTTTCCACTGCAGCTGGCACCAAACTGATTTCATCTTGAATGACCAAAATTTTAGGCTGCCAGCGTTGTTTCATCTCTTGCTCTTTTGTCTTCAAGGCCAAATGCTTGTTGCGCAAACTGGCTACACGATACGAGCAAGCAGTATGACATGTTCGCGCGCGATAGACATCATTGGAAATGGCATCCGGTTGGGCGTGGCTGAAGGTGGCAATCATGTATCGCTCTTTTTCTCCGGGTCTGGCTGGAAAAAAGCGACAAAAAACATCCAGCATGAGCTCTAAAATGATTGTCGTCTTGCCAGTGCCACCGGCGCCAATCAAAAGGCATGCGTGCTGCGCACGGTTTCGCAAAGGTGTTTTGTTCTCTTCTTCCTGTAAAGCTACATCCATTGACTCACCAAACCATCTGCAAGCAGACAATTGCTCCGGCGCCAGCTTGAATCCACCGGCAGACTTTTCAAACGCAGCAACCTTTCGCGCCATCGCTGCAGATGGCTTGCTGAAGGTGCGCCATTCTGCTTCTGGAATCGCGACATCACTGTTTGCAGCCAGCTCTCCTGCGCGCTCTGCGCAGTCGCTCGTAGCAGCCCGTTCCGCCGACAAGCGGCTGAGGCCCATGCTATCATTTGTCATGGCGGCGCGCTGAGCATCCAGTAGCGGCTGCGTGATCATGGGCGCTTTCTCTTTCAACCTCAGTTGTTCTGCTCGTGGATTCACTGCAGTGCCACTCGCGCGCTTGTAGGCCGCAGTTCTATGCAACGCTTCTTCATCCCCTGTCAAGGGCAAAAGGCCCGCAGAAATCATGTCGCGCACAAACTTGGTATGCTTTTGACGATGAAAGGTCATGGCTTGCGAACGCTGCGATGAAGTCAGTGGATGATGTACTTTTAAGGGTGCATCTCCAGCCTTCAGTCGAACCTCCCCATCGATGTCTGGATCCAAAGCATCTTCGAAGGCTGGTTCAAAGGATTCGCCAGTATCTCCAGTCCCGTGGCCTTCACGCACTAATCCTGGATCTTCTTTTGCATCTGCGTCCAAAGCATACGACTTGGTTTTGGGTGCTGCCTTAGCACGTCCGTAAGCATCTAAGTTCTTGACCACTCTTTTTGTCAAGTAGCAAGCATACTCTTGGACAGTCAAACGGTTCTGCAACTTTGCACTCGCATCGCAACCCAGTTTGTTCGTGCAATCCTTGTCCAATGGAATCAAGTATTTCTCTTGAGCCAATTCTTTTTGCAACTGGAATACTTCCAAGCACTCCCACAAAGTAGGCATTTCCATCCGTGCTTCACTTTTTTTTCAGCATCCGCAGCTTTGGGCAAAACAGTGTGCTGCCAGTAGTGTTTCCATGCTCTTGGAAAGGCATCATATGGATTTTCAATGCTCTCCTCGCTTCATCTTTTTGGCTACTTTCTCCACATCCAGAAAGATAGCCCTGTAAGGGTCCTGCGGATTGCCTTTTTCATCCATGTCATTGTTTTGCTCCAACAAATGTTCCGATGTCACATATCCACCATGCCACCATAGCTGTGATACACAACAGAAACCCTGTGTGATGTTGACTGTCTCAAGCATCAATCCAGCATGAGATCACTTCAAGTAATTTGTAGTAACTTGCTGTAAGATGTTGCCTGTCTCAAGCGTCTTTGCAAACAGCTCCAAAGGTACAGAAGTGGAAATGTCTCTGTCCACCCCAGTGACTCTGTCATCTGTTCAAACTGATTGCTTCAAACTTTGCCACCTGCAAAGTAAGAAGTGGCATTGCCCCGGTCACTCTACCACACACGCGCGAGTTTGCAAGTAATATATAACATACTTGTCTGACATTCTTTCTAACTTTCTTCTGCACATTCTTTGTCCCATATCTTCCTACATGAGGTCCGGCAGGGAACACTTGGCGTGGATACTCGCGGTTGAGGTCCGGCAGGGAACACTGGGCGTGGATGGTCGTGGTTGAGGTCCGGCAGGGAACACTGGGCGGGGATGGTCGTGGTTGAGGTCCGGCAGGGAACACTGGGCGTGGATGGTCGTGGTTGAGGTCCGACAGAGAACACTGTGCGTCGAGGGTCGCGGTTGAGCAGGAGGAGGAGGAGAGGAGAGGAGGAGAGGAGCAGGCAACTGACATAAAATCTAACAACCCTCACCTGGCAGGTGGGGAATAATCAAAATGGTTCTAATATTTTTTTCGCATATAAACTTATAAATTTCATGAGTCTCCGCCTGGTCTTTTCCGGCAACCTCCCCGGGGGGCCTCGCCGGTCTTCTGGAACTGCCGCGCAAAGGGCGCGCGCAGGGGCCCGGAAAGGTGCGCTAAGCCCTCGTCCCAGGAGGCTGCATCACTGCGGCGGCCTGAGCACCTGTCCCATGCAGCAAGGGATGGCCAGAGTTTCGGGCGTTTCGGGCGTTTGCCCCATTTTTGGGGATAGAGTTCAGGGAAGTTGAAGGGTAATTTAGCTCTATTTCACTTAAATTCTAGTTGGGATCTTGATCGGTTGGAAAATTGGTGATTTTGCTGATCCGTGGAGCGGTTTGAGTCTGCTGGAATTTTTGCCAGCCAAAGAATAAGCCATAAGCGATCATAAGCGTTTCCCAACGTATTTCTTCACTGGAACAAGTCCATGGGGACATATTTGGAAAATGAGTTTGGAATAAACCTGGTAAGTTTGGAGGCAATAGCACTAACAACACCTATTGTATATCTATTGTGTTCATGAATTCCGCAGGTTCTTCCCCCATTTTTTGTTGGCTTCGATGATGCCCTGGCCCTGGCCATGTCCCAGGCGCAAGTCTAATAGCAAGGCCGCTGGCTCCAATGCCATCTGTCGCGCCACCATGCCCTGTGGTGATCGATAGTCCGGATCAGCCCGAGACATCAGCAGGAGCGCTACGATGTTGGCATGTCCCACCGCTGTGGCCTGACGCCATGGGAAAACATGTGGGAAGACCATGACCATGGAAGACCTGAACAAGTGCCCAAACAAGTCTACCTTCTTTTCACTTCTCAATCCTAAAATTGTGCCTTGAATCAAGATCCAGGGGGAAGACATGCCTAAGATTTAATTACTCTCATACACCTTGCAATTCAACTTACAGCTTTTATATATATATATAGTATATAATGTCGACCCCGGATTAATAAACCATGGTTTATTAATTGGGGGGGTATTCCCCCAATAGTCATGATTTGATACTTAAATGGTACCTTCCCAATTATACAGCCTAGGGGTTTATTAATCCAGGGTTGACATTATAGATTTATCTGCAACATCTCCACCCCAGGCCTCAAAGATTGGTGTCTCTCCCAGCTCATCTGGCTCATTGGGATCGGCACCCGCCGCTAAAATTCGTGCAACTTCCTGGCGAGATCGACCACTTTCCCCGACTCCCATTGTCCAAAGGCTGAAGCCTTGGTGGATACCCTCTGGTAAACATACAAAAAACATCAAAAAACTATGGAAAATCACCATGTTTAATGGGAAAATCAACTATTTCATACTATTTCTATGGCCATTTTCCAGTTCGCAAACTGTTTGTTTACCAGAGGGTAACGGTTTCTTCATGTTTCTGAAAAATCCACTGATAGAAAAACTGATCTCCACTGCGCAGATTCTGGACAGAGTCTAACATCCAATATGATCCACTACATATTTGCCAGAAAGTCAGAAAAGCTGCGATGGCTCAGTAGCCAGGATATACCAGGATGATTAAGTTATTTAAGTTGAAGTTACTCATCCTTTTTTGAATTTAGCTTTCAGTACCACCCAGATATTGCCTGGGCATCGCTGCATCGAACCGCCTCCAAAAGCGTACCCTCCATGGCGGTAGCTCCAGCGGCTCCAGCGTCAACTTTCTAGGTGTACTCCCTTGACACCAACCGGTACCTACAAAGAATTACTTGGAAAAGGTTGGAAAAAAATACGTGGATGATGAATTTCCACTCTTTTGGCAGATGCTGAATGTGCGCCCCAAGGAATGTGCAAGATGCTGAATCTTACCCTATGTGATTCATGGAGCCATTGACCACCTAAGCACGGCCACAGAGATCCAGGAGATTTCGGGGAAACGGTTGCGGTTGTGCCAAGGGCTATGTGCTTCATGTTTTTTCCAACATGGACATGGCATGGTGAGAGTATGCGCAATTATGATCAATTATATATGTACAATGTACATGTGTTTACCCACCACAAGAATCAACGGCTTGATTTTTATCTGAAAATTCTTCAGCCAAACCCCACAAGCCCCTCAGCTGAGGTTAAGACACCCATTCCAGCTTCAAAACCTTTGGCGAAGCAGCCACATGTGTCATCCATCTTTCAGCATGGTTTCACAGTTGCATCAGTTGCAAGTTCCCAAGTTGAAGGAAGTTGGCACTGTTCTTTCTCAGATCCAATCTGTGAATCTGGGAGAAGATGTGATAGACGTTAGAGATAAGTTAAACTAATATATGCATGTGAGTGTGCTGTATACAGGTATGCATACATCGATGTGTCACAAAATTGATTTTAACCATTGCAATGGATAGGCATGTTTCCTCTTAAAAACATATATATATATAATTACATTGATGTGTCCGTCATTACATCAGGGTCGAAAGCACACATCCACCCATACTCTGAGCAAGGGACAGCCACTTTGGACTGCCTGGGTCAAGACCTCTGTGGCTTGCATTCTCAACCTCACAGCTTTGGGGGGATGAATGACGGCCGTTATTTTTTTTCCTGGGACCACTCGAAAAATGTGAGTTGAGTTCGCACTCTTTTGCCAACCGGCCAACCCCCAAGACCCCCAAGTCCAAGAAAAACACGAATAAATTAATAAATAATGAATAAATACCCTCTGGTGAACTAACATAGCTATTGAAAATGACCATTTATAGTGGATTTTCCCATTAAAAATGGTGATTTTCCATTGCTATGTTAGTTCACCAGATGGTAATTAATGACAACACATGTTTATTGCAATTCATTGGAAACGAACATGTACTGTGGTTTCAACTCCTGGGTTGCGACAGTGGTGCGTCGCTTGGAAACCACATCGACATCGATTGCCAGGGGGAAATGGAAGCCCTGTACCATTAAAAATCATCAAATGCATTCAAGAAAACATAATGTCTATGCGAAAAAATGAAGACTAGTGCGATTATCATTATGATCATTCATGATCATCACTAATACTTATATAACTTATATATATATACATGCAATTATATGCGTGAATGTATATACATACGTATATAAAATATTATGACATATTATGACCACTATCATTATTATTGTTGGTTTTATTGTTATTGTTGTTTTTTTGGTGAAAAAAATACAGAAACCTATCTAGAACCCCACTCGCCCCCGGCGTTCGCCTCCACCAGCCGCTTTCCAAATGCTTCAGCCTCAGCTTTCGGCTGTCCTCCAAAAACTTGGATAAAGATATCAGGGATTATCATGATAATATGGGGTAATGTAACGATGATGGTCACGATGATGATGATGATGATGATGATGATGATGATGATAATGATGATGATGATCAGCATCAGCATCAGCATCAGCATCATCAGCATCATCAGCATCATCAGCATCAGCATCATCAGCATCATCAGCATCATCATCATCATCATCATTATATTGCCTGTCATTATATTGCCTGTCATTATATTGCCTGTCATTATATTGCCTGTCATTATATTGCCTGTCATTATATTGCCTGTCATTATATTGCCTGTCATTATATTGCCTGTCATTATATTGCCTGATGTATAATATTTAATATCAATCAGGTGTATACTATAATGACAATATCAGTGGAATCTATGATAATAGAATCATTTAATAATCCTCAAATCAGGATTCCATGTCAGGATATCATGGTGATTCGATCGGGGAATACTGGCTTGATTAATGGTGATTCAATGTGGAGAAGTATGGATAAATGAGGATCAAGGAATGGTCTTTCAGAAAGATTGGGATGAATCTAGGGATGCTACGCTGCTACACCTATCAAAGTAATCTCCAAAGCCAGTTCAACAAGTGTATGAAGACCAGCTGTTGCTCCACCGGGCTCCCTCACGCATCCTCTGTCCGCTCCCGGTCGATGATGGCTTGTTGAGGTCTTGGCGGTGACACGACGCCCTTTGGACCCAATGCTGAGGCCCATCATGGGGTGAAGTACCCTCTGGTAATTTAACATAGCTATTGAAAATGGCCATTTATAGTGTATTTTCCCATAAAAAATGGTGATTTTCCATAGCTATGTTAGTTTACCAGAGGGTAAGGGACATCATGGCCAATCATCTCAGGTTTTTCACCCTGGGACATCCTGGGACCCACAATTGGATCATGTGTGCGTGTGTGGTGTGGGTATTTTCAAATATCCGTTACCGTAACACCGGAAGTGTCCCCATAGGCAGCTTACCAATAATCATCAATATCATCAATATATAGTTGCCGGTTTCTCAGATTTCAGCCTGAGGCATGTTTTCACGCTGCAATTCCTCATGAACTCTTCCCAGCGTGGGGCACCCTGCCCTTCATTGAAAGGAGAGCCCTTCAGTTGTTGCAAGGAGAGCCAGCTTCATCGTGTGCCCGCTCAGTCGAGTGGATTACCCCTCTCCAAGTCCAGAGAATGAGCTCAACTGAGGCATCGCACGAATGTTCGAGACCCTCGAACCGGTTCTTTCCGGGATCTTCGAATCTTCCAGGATTCCGCTTCCTTTGGAAGCCAGCAGCTAGCAAGAGGAGGCCAGGAATTCGGAAAAGTAGAGCTGACACTAGGCCGACAAAGCAGTGAACGGTAACGAAACCTCAAACGTTCCATGGTAAAGACTAACATGGCATAAGTATGCTGGCTGCTCTAAGCTATAGTCACATCTAGTCACTACTTCACTTGTTTGTCGTGAGGTCAGCTGTCTGTACGAAGCTATCCGATGCAGCTATCCACTTTGCACTTGGTCCACTTGTGACCACGTCGACTGTACAGGCTAGGCTGGGAACTGAATGCGAGATCTGATCTGCAAGCACTGCAAGAACCAAAAGTTCTTGGACACAAATGAATACGATTTACAGTATTTGAAGCTGAAGATTACGACTGCACCTTTGCCAAATCTTGCACTGCTCAGATCGACTTTGCATACAATATCGCCACAAAATTGGATGGCCCAAAAAAGGTGTTGTCAAATCAGCTGGCCATAACCCCGGAACCCCCCGAGGTTCTTGCAAAAGGCTTTTTTAAGATCTTTCAACAACACCTTCCGAGCCTTCAGAACCTGCGCTCAGAGTGATCCATCTTTTGTCCCGGACCAACTTTGGCGCAGTATAAACTACCAGCTGAAGTGATGAGAACGGCCGCAGGCCTCGTTTGAAAAGAAATCAACGGGACCCCAACGACCATCGGTCCATTCCCAGTGACGGCATCCGCAGCCCAGGCGCAGGCAATTCGCATAGGCCTGGCCCCGCCTGGCTCCTGCAGATGTCATCCCTTCAGGGCTAAGATGCTCAGACGAAAGCGCACACTGCGCATGGGGCTGCAGGATCATCAAGCTGGATGTGATGGGCCTGAGCTGCAGCCAATGGTGCCCAGTTTTACCATGTGCCTGGCATGAGAAACTATACGCCATACCCTCAGAAAAGAGGTTCATGGCTTCGTTCTGTGCCAATCAACCCTGAGATATCCCACACCCTCACGGTTGCTGGATATATACAGTAAACCTAAAACGGGAACCCCAGAGCATCCCCAATCAATTCCTATACCGCTATTAGCCTATACCCTCTAATCCCCTATTTATCGGCTTCACTACATGCGTGTGTGTGCGAAAATGGGGCACCCCCCGTCCAAATAGTTAATATCCCTCATCTTCCAATTACCTGTCAGATAATTAGGTAACCAACCCCCAAAATCGTAGGGATTCATAGCACCAAGCTGTCTGGCTATCTCAAAGGTAGCTGGGAAGCTATTGGGGTTTTGTGGTTACGGTCGCCTGTTAGCTGAGCCGAAGTTCCTCATCCGGATCCCAACGCATGGTGGCCAACTGCTCGGAAACTTCTGCATAGCTGCTGCCCAGCACCTTCTGGGCCAGTCCCGCCTGCGGCCAGGGTTTTGCAAACAAATACTGTAGGTCTAGGATGGTTTAGCAACAAAACTCTGGCTGCTTTGAGCACCCAAAATTACGGTGATTTTCTCAGAAAAATTGGGCGGTTCCACCTTTTCAGCAGCTACAGCTGAGATTTGACCAAAAAATTAGGCTTCAATCAATGAGAATGGCAGGAAGACCACAATATCCTCAGGCAATATCTCATCTGGCTGGCTGAAAAATCCACCCTTGGTGTGTTTTTTCCTATGGGTTAGATTGCCAGAACTGGTTGCTGGTTGAGACATCTGGGCACCAAAAACTGATTTTGTCAAGTGCAATCATCAGCCATGAGCCAATTTTGGTAGGATGGAACGTGAAAATAAATCTCTTTGAACCGCAATGTCCTACCGATGCAACAAAGGGACTCGGCTGAGAGGCATCCCAACAGTGAACGGGACCCGACTTGATGACCCTTGATATCCCTTGATCAACAGCTGACCTGCCGTACTCCTGGCCTTCTGACACGCCAGCACCACAGTTGCCGCCACATTCTCACCCACCTCGCGGATTCGAGCAGTGTTTGGCAGGACGGAATCCGCTTCAATGTCCACCTGGCCACGGAGAATTCGACCCCGATGAACTGGCAAAGACCTGGGGATGCGATTTACATCGATTTAGATAATGAATACATAATGATGCGGAATCACATGTGCAACAATAAGCCAACACACGCGCGCACACACATATATATATAGTAAGGATCCAGCAGATAGAATATAAACCATAATTCATTTCAAAAAAAAATACTACATGAGCAGGTTTGCAGGCAGGAATTTCAACAGATAGAATATCGGCAGGTACGGACTAGATCCGTGTATATATATATATATATAGGGTTTTGTAACATTTTTGTCTTAAACAAACGTAAAAAAAATAGTTTGATTATTTTTATTTTTTTTATATTTTTTTAAAATAGATATAATTTAAATATACAAAATATTCTATCTGTTTGATTTGCATATATATATATATACGATTTGGTGAGAATTGATGCAGAACACAACTAAAGATATATCTTTTGTTATCTTTTTGTTTAACAAATATTCACACATGTATGCTTCTGACATGACCATGTTTCCTTTATATGACGATAGTGGAATATTCTATCTGTTTGGTTTGCCTATATATATATTCAGTAACTGGCACATAGAATAAAATCAATGACTTTTTCGGGTAAGTTAAAAATGAAAAATAGCAGAAAAACACGTTGACAGTATAACTCGCAGATAGAATAGTTTTTGAGGTTTCGTTGCAGTATTGAATATTCTATCTATTAATCCGTGTATATATATATGTATATATATAGGGTTTTCAGAGGCATCAATGATTTTCCGGAAACTTTGACCAAATTCGCATTTATCATGATTTTTGCAAATTTTGGAATGATTTATCTGCTGGACTATTCTATCTGTTGATTTCCCCAAGGGTACAGCTATTTCCGTACATTGTCAATGAACCACACATAAGTTGCAGTTGTTTCTGTTCACATCGTGTGTTTACATAGCACTATATGCATTTGTCAGGTGCAAAGGCCAAGGCTGTATTTTGTGTAGAGCATTGTCCGTCTGTGGGTGTCGATGGGTGTCGAAAGCATTGCAACTGAACATTCGATGCACTACGTCTGATGAGTCAAGGTTAGCAAGGGTTAGGTGTGTGTGTGTGTGCATGTTTTAATTTGACAAACAGGATGTGTATCGAATATATTATATGTTCCATATTTTGAATGAAAAATGATTCAAAATCAACAGATAGAATATTCCAGCTACATGGAGTGCCAGCTTTAATGGTTCCAGCCAATCTTTTGTACCGTTTTGATTGCAATGAGTGGCATACAAGCCAGTCAATAAATCATGAGTGAATGAATTTGTTTCCAAACGTGCCGATGATTTTCTGGAAAAAATAAATTTGATTCGTTTTTTTCCCAAATTTATCATTTATCATAGTTTCTGTATTAATCTTCTTTTGATTGACTTTGGACTGTTCTATCTGTTGGTGTCCACATGGGTAGACATATTTCCGAACATTATTGTTTGAACCAAGCATGGATAAAACATACATTCACCCCAACCGAAGGAGAAACACATAGTAAGTTGCAGTTGTTTCTGTTCACATCGTCTGTTTCCATAGCACTATATGCATTTGTCAGGGGCAAAGGTTGTGTTTGTGTAGAGCATCGTCCGTCTGTGGGTGTCGATGGGTGTCGAAAGCATTGCAACTGAACATTCGATGCACTATGTTTGATGGTTAGGTGTGTGTGTGTGCGTGCGTGCATGTTTCATGTTGGTTTTGCATTTTGCGAGAGTTTTTCAAAGTGTTTGATAAAAGGACGTTAATCAACCACATTTTGCTGTATGTTTTAATATGCAAAATGATTCAAAATCAACAGATAGAATATTCCAGCTACATGGAGTGCCAGCTTTAATGGCTCCAGCCAATCTTTTATACCGTTTTGATTGCAATGAGTGGCATACAAGCCAGTCAATAAATCATGAGTGAATGAATTTGTTTCCAAACGTGCCGATGATTTTCTGGAAAAAATATATTTGATTCGTTTTTTCCCAAATTTATCATTTATCATAGTTTCTGTATTAATCTATCTTTTGATTGACTTTGGACTGTTCTATCTGTTGGTGTCCACATGGCGTAGACATATTTCCGAACATCATTGTTTGAACCAAGCATGGATAAAACATACATTCACCCCAACCGAAGGAGAAACACATAGTAAGTTGCAGTTGTTTCTGTTCACATCATCTTTTTCCATAGCACTATATGCATTTGTCAGGGGCAAAGGTTGTGTTTGTGTAGAGCATCGTCCGTCTGTGGGTGTCGATGGGTGTCGAAAGCATTGCAACTGAACATTCGATGCACTATGTTTGATGGTTAGGTGTGTGTGTGCGTGCGTGCATGTTTCATGTTGATGTTGGTTTGCGGTGGTTTTTCGGATAGAACAAATCGACCACATGTTGCTGTATGTTTTAATATGCAAAATGATTCAAAATCAACAGATAGAATATTCCATCTACATGGGGTGCCAGCTTTGCTGGCTCCAGCCAATCTTTTGTACCGTTTTGATTGCAATGAGTGGCATACAAGCCAGTCAATAAATCATGAGTGAATGAATTTGTTTCCAAACGTGCAAATGATTTTCTGAAAACTTAGACTTGATTCGTTTTTTCCAAAGTTATCATTTATCATAGTTTCTGTATTAATCTATCTGTTGATTGACTTTGGACTATTCTGTCTGTTGGTGTCCACATGGGTAGACATATTTCCGAACATTATTGTTTGAACCAAGAATGGATAAAATATACATTCACGCCAACCGAAGGAGAAACATATAGTAAGTTGCAGTTGTTTCTGTTCACATCGTGTGTTTCCATAGCACTATATGCATTTGTCAGGGGCGAAGTTGTGTTTGTGTAGAGCACCGTCCGTCTGTGGGTGTCGATGGGTGTCGAAAGCATTGCAACTGAACATTCGATGCACTATGTCTGATGAGGCATGGTTAGCAAGGGTTAGGTGTGTGCGTGTGTGTGTGTGTGTGCATGTTTCATGTTGGTTTTGCGCTTTGCGAGAGTTTTTCAAATTGTTTGATAAAAGGACGTTAATCAACCACATTTTGCTGTATGTTTTAATATGCAAAATGATTCAAAATCAACAGATAGAATATTCCAGCTACATGGAGTGCCAGCTTTGCTGGCTCCAGCCAATCTTTTGTATCGTTTTGATTGCAATGAGTGGCATACAAGCCAGTCAATAAATTATGAGTGAATGAATTTGTTTCCAAACGTGCAAATGATTTTCTGGAAACTTAGATTTGATTCGTTTTTTTTCCAAATTTATCATTTATCATAGTTTCTGTATTAATCTATCTGTTGATTGACTTTGGACTATTCTGTCTGTTGGTGTCCACATGGCGTAGACATATTTCCGAACATCATTGTTTGAACCAAGCTTGGATAAAACATACATTCACGCCAACCGAAGGAGAAACACATAGTAAGTTGCAGTTGTTTCTGTTCACATCGTCTGTTTCCATAGCACTATATGCATTTGTCAGGGGCAAAGGCTGTGTTTGTGTAGAGCATCGTCCGTCTGTGGGTGTCGATGGGTGTCGAAAGCATTGCAACTGAACATTCGATGCACTATGTTTGATGGTTAGGTGTGTGTGTGCGTGCGTGCATGTTTCATGTTGATGTTGGTTTGCGGTGGTTTTTCGGATAGAACAAATCGACCACATGTTGCTGTATGTTTTAATATGCAAAATGATTCAAAATCAACAGATAGAATATTCCAGCTACATAGGGTGCCAGCTTTGCTGGCTCCAGCCAATCTTTTGTACTATTTTGATTGCAATAAGTGGTATATTAGCCAGCCAATCAATTGTGATTGAATGTATTATTTGTTTAGTATGTCTGTACATGAGTTCCTTATGGAGTGGATGGAAAAATTCAAAGTTGAGTTGTTGTAGTGTGCCAGCAATGTTGACTGCTGCTTTGGGAATTGAGGAGATTATGGGTCGACGGGGTCTGGAAAATAAGTTATTATTCTATCTGTTGAAAACACTGGTAAAACACAGGAAAAATGATGCTTTTAAAGTTGATTTCCCTAAAAATATATATTTTAGGTCTTGGATAATTCTATGTGTAAAATTTACCCAGCTATAAATTTTGCATTATTTTATGTGTTATTTTCAAATCAATGAAATTTTGAATATTCTGTCTGCCTGTTACTTAATATATGTTTTGGTGAGATAGATGCAAACAAAAACTGTACAATTAGAAACCGCTGAACATGTGAATATGTGAAAAAAAGGATGAACTGACATGAGGTGGATTTGTTGATCTGGGTCATATGTGAATTCTGTTCAAAATGCAATTAAAAAAAGGTCCAAAATCAACAGATAGAATATTCCACTGGATCATCCCACACAAACTAATCTTATGTCACAGTATGAGTGTGCTTGATGGTGTGCCAGCTCTGCTGGCTACCATTACTGATTGGAGTCTGGTTGTTGTGTTTCATGTGATGCTCAACTGAATTTGAATAGTTTCTTAGCTTTATGTTAATTATATATATAACATATCATATATATATTATATATATTTCAAAATTGAATAAATTCATTGAGTTTTTCTTCTAAAAACGATATATCTACGTATGATATATTGATACTTTTGATTTGTTTCTTAGAATATCATTTTTATGTATATTTCAAGTTTGAAGAGTTTCTTTAATTTTCTTTCAAATTTTTTTGTAGACATATGATATAATGATAAGTTTGCTTAGTTTTCTCAATATATATATATATATCAAGTTTGAAGAGTTTTCTCGAGTTTTATCATATAAAAAACAATGTATTTGCATAGGATTTGTTCATAATTTTGATGAGTTTTCTTAAATTTCTATATTCCGTATTCTATCTCTTGATTCCCCCCCCGCATGCGAAATCCAGATTCTATCTGTTGACCATATCATTTTTGGTATTCTATCTGCTGGATCCTTACTATATATATATACATGTATACATATATATTATATATATAGATATAGATATATAATTATATTATGCATATATATATATAATATATATATATATATATAATGTCAAGTCAGGATTAATCAACATCCCGTTATTAATCAACCTCCTCCTCCCAAAAAAAAAATGTAATTTAAAAACAGGTGGTCCCCCAGATTAATAAACACTTTGGCCTACCCCCGATTAATCAACTCCCTGTCCTGAAATCCATTTTTTTATCCAACATGTTTTATTTCCAATTCTATTTATTTCCAATTGTTTTTTACCTTTGTTTTTATCATCATTGTTATACTTCAGGTTTAAGTTGATCATTGAAAATTTCAAAAAACAACTATTCCCCAAATGATCGATTTCTAATTAAAATCTTTATAAAAATCATCAGTTTGGATAGCTCCCAAAGGGTACCCCCCATGAGCCCATGTCCCCCATTAAGAATAACCAGGGTTTGCCCCTGATTAATCAACCACCTTTCTGATCCATGAAATTTTAACAAATCCAATGGAATTCTATTAAGATCTAATTGACGTAAGCCATATCCAAAGTTTTATGGTTCAGAGTTGCTTATTATTGAGGGGTGGTCAAGAAAACCAGTCAGAAGGTACCCCCCTACCTTCTGGGGGGGGGTTATTGATCCAGTGTTGGCATTATATGATATGATATATGGTTTTTTCCAGATCATCCATATCTATACTAATATCATCTAAGCCATGCCATCCCAGGCCTTATCCAGGGAGTTGGCCACAGCCTCTGCTGCTTCCATGAAGAGGTGATCCGTGATGGTGGTGGCTTCGCAACACCTCGAGGACCGCCCCAGATCACCGTTGGAAACCATGGGGAAGAAACGATGGAAAAAATGGGGAAAACATGGTGGAAACCCTGGAAAAAATGGGGAAAACATGGTGGAAACCCTGGAAAAAATGGGGAAAACATGGTGGAAACACTGGAAAAAATGGGGAAAACATGGTGGAAACCCTGGAAAAAATGGAGAAAACGATGGAACACCCTGGAAAAAAATGAGAAAACATGGTGAATGGTGAAAACATGTGAAAACAATGAAAAACATCGGACATGTATGGAAAAGGTATGGTGGAAAGCCCAACTGACGTTGAAGATGTCAAAGTTTTATGATGGAATCTACCAGCCTAAGAAGGATTTGATTTTGGTGAAAAATCATGGATCTACACAAATGGCGGTTTGTCTAATCAACATGGGCCGCGCCGAAATTTCAGGGCTTGAAACATGTTTTTCCCCTGTTAGATTGGCACTGACATAAATTGTTGCTAAACCATCTGGGTTTCCCTACACCAAATCTAAAAACACTTCTAGGAGCTCAGGGCCAAGCTGATCCTGTTTGGCTGTGACTCATGACGTGACCCATCCCCAAAAGGTTAAGGATAGAAGAAGCAACTTGATTCTTGACCAACCAATTCTGCTTCACAAAACAACACAGTTTTCCAACTCCATATCAGGGATCGGTGGGGATCTGGTCACAATAATGTCACAATTCTAACCAGCTCCTGTCTGCCCCTAGCTTCGTCCAAGCAACACAGCGCCAAAGGACATCCCTGGGAAGATGAAGAAATTGTTCACCTTTCCGGGTCTCCAAATTTTGCGCCAGTTGGATGGGAAGAATGAACCAAATTCCCCACCTGTCCCGTAGCCATGACGCCGTCTTGGTCCAGTTGTCCCATGTTGTGCTTTTTGAGATTTCTGTCAACGTGAAAAATGATAAAAATGGCCTCCGGGTGGTTGTTGCAACATGTTGCATGACCATGTGCTTTCATCATCTTTCCCATTTGCAGTCATGAAATCATCATCCAGCGGGATTTGATTCACGCCATTTGAGTCAAGTCACCTGCCCGGGAACTCGGGTCCTCCCCTGCACTTCCACCGGCGGAAAGCGGGTACCGGAGCCGAAAATCGCCTTGCCCTGCGAAAACTTGTAGCAGTCCTGACACAACAGGTCTTTTTTTACAAGATTTCCAAGGCTGTAACGCCCCAAATGAAGATACATAATTTGATTTGTAACATATGTGTATGTCTGTATGTCCTCAAGAACGGCCTTGCCCCAACCAGTTTTGCACATGCACCCCAAAGAAAAACATCCTCTGTACATCTGTCTACTCCCATATGATTGGATGTTTCCTCTGGTAGTCAAACATGGCTACCTTCCCATTTGCCCCCATATATAGATGATTTTCCCATTCAAGGGATGTTTGACTACCAAAGGGTAATTCAACGTCCATTAAGAACCACCAAGCACCATCATTGAGCATCAACCATTCATCACCATTAACATCCATTAACCATATAATTCTTCACAATTAATATCAATCAATCATCAATCTACATGAACCATCATGAACCATCTACAATTTCCATGGCTTTCCACATCAAACAAACACCCCACCCGGTCCACCCCACCTAGGACACCTAAGACACCGACCTCTCCTCTGCTGTGATCTCTGCCTGACTCATGGGATTGGACAGCGCGAAGATGATGGGCCGCCCTGGCGTTGCTTTGGCCGCTTGGACGCCCAGCATGGCCTTGACCACCTCCTGGGCGACTCTCCAGTTCTCCAATTCGCTGTTTAAAAACCCATGCCATAATCATGCGAATTAATATCCGATGAATATCCGATGAATATCCCGTATGGATTGATCATGATTGATCATGATTGATATATCATATACAATCATATGTAAAATCATACGCGTGTGTGCGTGTGTATGCTGTAACTAATCATGTATAATATATCATCATATGGATTGATGAAGATCCCCAACCTCAAACATCCCCCCGCGGCTCCTCTGTGAAGCAACCGGGGGCCTTGCCCACCGCACCGATGAGCACATCTGGCTTGTGGTGCTTGATGATCGAAACCAAGTCTGTATTGTCATAGCCTTTCCTAGGCTCTGATACCCTCTGGTAAACGTTTACATAGCTATGGAAAATCACTATTTTCAATGGGTAAATCCACTATTTCTATGGTCATTTTCAATATTTTCAATAGCAAACTGTTAGTTTACCAGAGGGTATCTTTGATGAGATCAGATGGAAGATGAGATAATGGACGAAGTAGAGCAATGGCAATGACAAATGAATAAATACCCTCTGGTAATTTGTTACATAGCTATTGAAAATGGCCATAGAAATAGTGGATTTACCATGATTTAGATGGTAAATGACAATAAATGAGAAATATACATGGTGATCAAACAGCACAGGGATTTTTGGCACCCAAATCCTCACGACATCCCAACAAAATTTAGCACCAAGGCTCGGCTCACCGGTGAGTGCCACGGCTTTCTGTTCATCATTGCGGAAGGTGCCGTTGCTGCCATCCTCCGATTTCCAAATGACGCCTCATTTAGGCCATGGAATCATCATGAAAACTCAACATGTTGAAATGTCATCCAATGACTCTATATATATATATATTTATTTATTTAAGATATGATATGGTTATATATTTATATATGGTTATATATAGACCAATGGTCCAATCTTCACCGCCATCAGTCTCGGTCTCGGTCATCGCGGCCTCGAGAGTTGGTTACCACCACAGCTCCTGGCAGCATGTGGACCTCTGCACTCAGCAGCTGTGCTCCACCCAGGTTCGCCGAGCCAGCACCGTGGAAGAGCACCTTCATTCCCTGCCGTTGCGTCGTTGCGTCGCTTGAAGGAAGTATGGTGAAGTCATGGTGAAATTGGGGGATCAACACGTTTCAACCCATCTGAAAACTATGAAAATATGAGTTTCATCCCGCTGAAAATAAAAAATAGTTGAAACCACCAACCAGAAAGGGATTGTTCCTCAGGTCATCGACCGCTTGAAACGGCTTGAATCGATCCCCCATTCTGTCTTTCCAGGGGCCCTATCAACATCCACTATCAACCAAACACTGATAGACAGCAATCACGCCCTCAGCAATTTAGCACCTGCAGCTCCTTCAAAAGGGTGGTACACTCAGGCTTCTGAAGCCTCAAATCATCATAAAGTGACGTATATCTGGTGGATGCACGTGCATACTACGTTGACTTTGTGGGGATTGTGTGCTTTCTATGATGTATATAATTTTGTGATATTTTGTGTATAGGTAGACAGATGTGGATATGATAATCTGAAAAAGTCATCATCGTGATGCATAGGCATGTGTATGCTCAAATGAGTGTCACATGGAGACCTGTTCCCAACTCCTTCCCGGATGCAGTAGTTCATCAAGATGCTTGATGCCACCCAAGACGGCTGCCACAATGATGGAGGCTGTACCCTGAATGTCATCATTGTAGGTCAGGAACTTGTTTCCTCAGCTATGACAAGCATGATGAACCCTATGCTCCCACTCGATACATCTCAAGACCATGTGTGTTGCAACAGTGGCCAAGTTGTCACACATTCCAGAGTCTTCGCCCTACGGGGCCCCATGTTCCGACTCTCCATGTGCTCCGTCAAGAGTCTGTACTCCTCAAGTAGTGGGAACGCATCATTGGAGTTGAAGTCCTCTGGCACCGGCTCATCCAAGCAAATGTGCTCGTCACACAGGTCCAATCAATGAAAAAATAGGTGGTCGGACAACAGTCGGACTACAAAGCTGATTCCAGGTATGAGAATGGAAAACATGGTTAGGGGGTTAAGCATGTCCGAACTCTGATCCACAGACACTCGCATTTCTTTCTATGAATTATGATTTGGGGATGCCCCTAGTTTTGCCCCCACCCTGTTTAACCAAAATGCAACATCAAACATCATGACCTGGCATGGCAACAACGTTGACTTGGGTTTGAATTGGGTTCATCATCCCATTTTCAGAGGCCGCACCTCAAATTGCAAAAGACAGTTGCGACCGAACAACTCCCGGGCCGCACTCATGAATTCCTCAGCGGGGCCAATGGTGCCCAGGAAACTGTGAAACTTTTGGTTGGGCAACCAGTTCAACCAGGGGGTTGAGAAGCAAAGCGGGATCCGCATCCCAGGTAATACCAGGGATGGAAATAAAACATGTTTGAAACCACCAAAGAAAATAGATGGAAATAGGATAAAAATGGATAAAACATGGAGATTCCATGAGATGCCAGCTCTTTTTTGAATGGCCCGCTGGGTGAGACATGAAGCGACAAGCGTCTCCAATGAAGGAATCGGGCCCATAGTACACGGAATTTACCTGCGGCTCATGCTAGCTCCACAAATTGCTGGAAGAGAAAGGGACGAACTACCCAGCTGATATGGAATGGAAACAAAAAATATGACAAAATAAAGGTCAAGCAGGAGAGTACCCAAGTTTTCCAACTTCATCAACTTCCACTTGGCACCTCTGTTCCTGCTTTCGATGTGTGTTTCTGGCGATTGTCCTTCAAGCCGTGGTACAAGATGTGATCGCGAATCGTAAGCCTTTCCAGAAGTCTCTGCGGTGAGAAAGTGGCAAAGACCATGCAAATTCAGTACCGTAATGCCCGTGTTTAAAGAAATGCTGGAACGACTTTCACTTTTTTAGGTTCTTTCAATCTTGACATTTCTTTGCCAGGAGACTTTGCAGCATTTCCGCTGGCGTCGCTGCATCCAACATCAATCATCACTGGAATCGTCTTGGCGGGATCGAAGCCAGCACCTGCAATTGGACATGAAACGAGTCTAGCCCCATTGTCTCTGCAAAATTCTGCGAGCCAAATCACTTGCTCATCATTGACTCGGAGCAGCTAAGCCCGCAACACACAGTGTACAAGTCCTGAGCCCGGGTTCACACCAGCAGCACAAAAAGTCAAAACATGTCAAACATCGAAATCCCAACCACCAGGCTGGCTAAAACCTGCGGTGAGTTCCTAAAACCCCGATGTTTGGGTGAATTCTCACCAGGTCCACCCTCCCATTCACTGAAAAACAGCACGGCTCCAGCTTCCCAATGGGGATGCCCATGCCCCAAACGCCAAGGTCGCCCAAACCCAGGATGCGGCCGCCGTCAGAGAACACCTCAGAGTCTGAGTTTAATGAACATGCAGTGTATTAATATATATATATATATAATTGTATTATATTAATATCATATGATTTGATCAAAATGAAATAATGACATCATGTTTCATTGTTGATCATACTTAGCAGCTAGAGAATATCCAAGATTTCTTGAAGCAAGTAAACTGAAAAACCATCTTTGGTCCATCCCAACTCGCTGTCGGTTGCGTTGAAAACTCAGCCTCCAACGATGCATTGGCACTGCGGCTGACCATTCTGGTCCTTCGGAAGCATTGCATCCTGGGCAAGAAGGTTGGAATGTCAAGGACGTACGGAGGTGGTGCAGGCCAGGGATGATTTTTGTGGGCAGAATAAGCATGGGTAATTCAACATGTAATACTGTAATATACTGGAATTCATTTTTTGGAACCCCATAAGTTGAGTTCGGAAGCTCTGTTAAAGGATATAGAACACTATAGAACTGTAGGTCCAAGAAAACGTTGGAGGGCCGAAGATTTTGGATGATTTTAGGATAATCACGCCTGATGCCAAGTGTTCGTCGAAGATTCCCAGCACAACGATGCTCAGGTGGTGCTGACAAGTGTCGGCATATTCCTTCAGCACGGCCTTCAGGTTGCCCCTGTCGGCGAGCGACACGTAACCTGAATCAGAGAAACCTCCAAGATCACCAAGAGCTTGGCCATTCCGGGGATGCCCCATTGGGTATTTAGAATAAATATATATTATAATATATTATTATATATGAATAATAGTTAATTTTGAGCTACTTAGTATGGCTTTCCAATATTTTCCAGTAAAGTATGTAGGGCTTCCAACATCAATGATCCAAGCAACAGCCACGCGGCAGCAGTGGCAGCTGGCCAAACTTCTGGCAAGCCTCACATGTGGCGGCTTCAGCGCGAGCCCCCGCGAAAACACACGTGGAACCCCAAGGAAACGGATTTGGAAACTCAGCATCTTGACTTTACTGGTCATGTTTGGGTTCCATGTTCAATCTCGGGGCCAAAAAAAACGAAACACCCACTTTGGCAATGGGTCAAACTGAATCAAACTTGGGTACCTCAAATCATGAGATGGGTTCATACTAGAAATCGGCCTGCACTATACAAAACCCATTCTTATCAAATATGGTTGGTTGGGTCTTACATTGTACATGTTGGATCATTTTGGCCCGTGCCAGGGTCCAACCACACCCCTGTGCCTCTCCAACGGTTGGGGTGTAGACAATAGGCATCAGAAAGGATGGCTCGGCCAGCACTGTGCGGTAGAAGAGGCTGGAGTCCTTGCTCGCCACATGCGGGTTCAAGCCTTGAACTCACTGGCGAGGGAATGAAACAATCTACATGATGTAATCATATATGCGTGAAATTTGACTATATAGCAAATATCTGAAGTGACTAAGCAAACGCGGGAATAGAACGATAGCAAACTGATATTTAAGACCAAAAGATATCCAGCAAAAATGGAGACATGATTAAAACCAACAAAAGGCATGTCTCGTGTCCGAAGGACCCACTCATCTGATCACCGTATCAAAAGTTGCACTTAATACCTACAATGTGGGGCCCCCAAGATAGCTAAGTTGGTTTATAACTCCAATAACTATGGTTTGTGGTACTTATAACTATAGTTAATGGGGTTTATAAACCAACTTATAACTGGGGGGCCCCACATTGTAATATTTATCCTATTCTATTTCATTAAATGCGTTCAAAGGACTGAGCAAAAGAGACACCTTGAAAGATCTCCATGGACCTGCCCTCTATGAATACAGTCAACAAAAAGCGATTCCTGTGATATTCATATAGTCATGTAATACCCTCTGGTAAACTAACATAACTATGGAAAATCACCATTTTTAATGGGAAAATCCACTATAAATGGCAATTTTTAGTAGCTATGTTAAATTACCAGAGGGTAATCTGCACATGTTTTTGGATCGCAATAGGAGGTTCTGCCACCCCGGGACTACATCAGCTTAGTCGATTTGTTGGCTGTTTTTTTGTGAGCCTCCCAGATTCCCAGGCTTTCATTAAAGAATTCCACATTACCATCCCAACTGACCCCCGTCCCCCAACTTGGGAGCGGTCAGCGGGTGCCTTGTGGTAGAGCATGCGCAGATAGGCATAGGCCCAGATCATATGTCCCAGACTTGTGAAGCCCCTGACTTCATCTAAGGCCTCCCAGGGTGATCGCCATACTCCCATCCCTCAGTGGTTTTTCTTTGGAGGGTCAGTCATCATCTATGGCATATGGGTCATCCCATAACCAACTACCGATGGAAAACCGATGGGTTTTCCCCACCATTTTTCCCAGCCTCGCTGACGGTTTTTGCCTGGCAGGCGCTGTCCAGAATTTGCAAGATGCCCTGCACGGCAGCCTCCGCCCGCGCGAGGATGCCGGTCTCCGGTACCCCGTTGGTTCGGTGTGGGTTCGGTGAAACATCCTGCCCCGCTTCTTGGTTCTATCCCACATCTGGGCAAGTCACAAATATCATGATCATTCCCCAACCCCTGAAAAACAAAATGAAAATATATGAAAATAGATTTTATTAGATTTTAGAATTCCCTAGAAAGGTAGAATATGGTAAAATAATTCCCCTGAATGTTTCGGGATGGTTTCCGTGCCTTTCCCTTACCTAACCATGTAGGTATTATTTCCCTTACCTATTCATCATAGTTTCCATATGAGGGCCCCGCCTGGGAATTCCAGGTCTCCACACCACGCTTGACCACCGATTTGGGCAGCGAAAGGTGTCGACCTTCCAAGTTGATCTTCACCATGACCTGGGGCCGTGGGGCCGTGGGGCCGTGGCGCAGCTTGGAGGGGCGGGGGATCAGTTTGCCCCGTGAAACATCGACAAAATGGTGCGGAGTCAAGTGAAGGACCTACTGCATATGAGAAAAAGATGAGAAAAGTCCATGTGTGGTAAGGAAGGTCAGGAAGTCATGATACTCATGCCCCAAGGAAAAGAACGCAAAATCTGATGTTCAAAAAAAACTCCTTTAAACCTAAAACCGTCCCAATGATCATAGCATTTCAGTCTGAAATCACAAAAACTAGAATACCTAGAATTGGGTGTTTGCAGGAGTGTGAAAGGAAACATTTCTGATTCATCGAAAATCCGGATTTTCCAACTCCGAAGGTGAACACCTGAAGCCAACACGAGCCGCGTCGCAGTGATCGGCGAGTTGCAGCTTGCGTCGCGGTGATCTGCGGCCAACGTTGCCCCGCTGAGCTGAAATGGCTATGGCCAAAGGGCGGAGCGGCGATCACCAAAATTTGAATCTGATCATTTTACTAATTCTGGTAAATTATTAGTAAATTATTAGTGGTAATGATATACCACTATCGTTTACTAATTCTTCAGATTCAGGAAATATTAGTGGAATTTGGATATATTTAAGCAGGATCAGACCTGAACAGACCAGGTTTAGTTCGGGGAGAACTCATTTACCCTGTAATGGTAGGGTTGCACTTTTTCCGGGCACATTTAAGTAGTGGTTTAAACATAGTGATGGGCTTAACATGGCTTAACCACAATTTAAGATATTTTAAGAGTATATACGTACAGTATATAGTTAAATAATTTAAATATAGTATCATATAGTGAATCACATAGTCACAGGTTTTCACCACTTTAAACTCGAATAGTCACAGTCAGGGTCTGAGGTGCTGGCATGCCCAAACGGACGGACTGCCATGGGTGCCAAAGGTAGCTGAGCTGGAGGTTCATTTTTGGGCCAACCACATTATAGATAATAAATATTACTGCAATAAGTAATAAGTGTATACTGTATAACATATAGGTCAGTATGATTATATCATGAAGTGAGAGAGAGAGAGATGTTATATATATATACAATTATACATATATATACCTTGAAACTCAAAAACCTACAAAAACGTGGGATATGAAAAAAACACGATGTTTTTCCACAAAACCCGATGTTTTCAAATTTGCAGTTTTGATGGTGAAGAGAGAAATGAATAGAGTCATCCTATTCCAGCATATTCCAGCATTCCTTGCCACAACCCCCAACAAACATGTGGTTGGGAAACTCTTGGTGGCTCCTCAATTCCCTCTTGACCAGTGGATAGCATAGATAGCCAACATCACCCACCAATGATTCCGATGCGATGTCTATTTTCATATGATCATATGAATCTGTTGAAATATTGCAGCAAAAATGGCAAAGGTGGGACCCTTCTGAACCCGAACAAAAAGTACGGGTTTGCACGGGTAAAGTACGGGTTTGGCACGGGTTTGGCACGGGTTCAGCACGCGTTTCAAAACCATTGTGTTTTGGAAAAACACGATGTATTTATGCCAAAAGTTCGGGTTAGCACGGGTAAAGTACGGGTTTAGCACGGGTTCAGCACGGGTTCAAAATAAGCCCGAACTTTTCTCAGTAGGTTGTCTAAAAATTAAATCCAAGTCCCATACTAGCCCTTCGATGAGATCGATATTTTGGGGCGTACAACCATGACCGCGCTTCAAGCAGTTTTTCTCAAGACTTAGACACAAAAGAAACGCCAAACGATGATCATATCATGCGACTATGATATGACTATGACTATGATTGGTTGATTTGTGTACGTGGTCTGCTTAAGTGATGCCAAATCATGAAAACAACGTTTATTTAGCTATCCTGGGAAAACACAATGTTTTTTCTGGAAACACGATGTTTTCGCAGTGCACCCTGGAAAACACGAGGTTTACATTTTTATCCTGCAAAAAGTTAGGCTTTCGTTGTACTAGGTATATATATCATATGTGTATGTGTGTGTGTGTGTTCCATACTTATCAAATATATCCTCAGCCTGTACTATTGAAAATTCATCTGTCTTGATGCCCGGTTCAACCTGGATCTGTCTATCCACCATGGTCCACCATGGTCCACCATTCCAGCAGCAAATTGAAGTCGGTGAGGCTCCAGTGCATCTGAAGTCATCATTCAGATGGCATACACCTGTTGGATCCCAAAGGTCCGGGCCCATGCTTCGGCTGTTTTTTCAGCCTGTGGTTGCCATTGCGACTAACCGGGGTTGTAACAAAGAAGGTGATAAGGTGATACCAAAAAAGATCATGCCAAGTCAAAAAAAAAATCAACCCCAGGGGATTTTGACGTATCTCGGTATCCCATTTCCAAACAAACCTGCATGAAAAATTACCATGGTAGACCCGCTTCAAGGCTAGCGAAAACCACTCCTTTTCGCACGCAGCGTCCACGGGCGCCACATCGAAAATCTTGGACGGGTCAGGGATGCCTCTTAGAGGTCCCCCCAGTCCCAAGCTCGCAAGGATTTTTCTACTCTGAGTCTAGTTGGTGGTTTTAACTTGGTTGGTGAACACGGTGAACACGGTAGTTTTTAAGAAAGTCTATTGCGTTCAACGGGGAGGAAAAAATGAGGTGTTTGCAAAGTTCTACGCGTGCAATATGTTTCCAGTACTTGAGCCCAGTTTTAAGAGATGTTCCTCCTCTCTCTCTCGCTCTCTCAATGGGGTGAACAAATGTGAAAAACCACCTGATTCAATTGCGGTCGCCGCCATTCACCTGAGGCTTTGCAGCATTTCCTTGACCAAGCGAAGACCTTGCTGATCTGCCAACTCCTAGCAGGCTCAAACCAGAAATGGCTCCCTGTCTTGTGGTGGCTTCTGCGGCAATCTAAAATAGTCATGAAATAATAGAAAATTGTCATGGAAATAACTCATGGTGAATCGTCTGCTTTCCTGGGTCAAATTACCAAAGGGTAAATTCTAATCATACCAGCCAACATGGCTGTGTCTGAAAATGCGCCATACCGGCATACCCATAAAATTGCGCGTTTATATCGCTTTTAATGCGGACAATGAGTATACACCATTTTTAGAGAAACCTCCATAGAGCTGGCTGCCACGAGGCACACGTTACTTCCCAACGAACTTGGGCCAGGTACCCATACAATGGACAGAGATTTCAACAGGTCCAAACTAGCGGATCCAGTTTCAAGAAGTCTTTCCGTACTAAAAGCGGCTATATGATGTATAAATATAAGCTATATATTTATACACAATATACTCTTATATATATATCATATTATTGTATATGTTATGCATAGTTCTACATAGTTCTACTATATATTTTTCGCATCATAAAGGGCTAACCGCCATCGCTCAAGCCCTGGCTCAAGGCCCCGGCCAGTGCTCCTGAGGTGATGGAAAGGAAGCTTCGGCCAATCTGGTCAACAAACCCACGGTGCTCGATTCATCGCTCGGATCTTGGTCCGTTGGTCCGACAGATTCCGTCCGCTGGAAGTCATGGCAGTGAAAAGAACATGTTGACATATGTTAATTATAGGCATCTGCGTTCTGATCATCGCTCGAATATGAGAACAAATCATGTCAAGAGGCCACACTGTGAGAAGTTCGTGTCTTGGAAGCGAGTCATGCAATCATGCTGCATCACCGACTACGAAAGAGGTGCATGAGAAAGGACCGATATCGAAGGTCGAAAAAAAAATGGAACACAACAGCGGTGGTCTTATTCCTTGTCGTGGGATCACATGTTTTCCGTTTTGGTAACTTCCATTTCTACGGGCAATCTCCCAAGTACCCTCTGGTAATTTAACATAGCTATGGAAAATCACCATTTTTAATGGGAAAATCCACTATAAATGGCCATTTTCAATAGCTATGTTAAATTACCAGAGGGTATCCCAAGAAAGAATAGATGGAAATGGTAATTCCCGATGAATCCCAAGCCCCAGACTGGTGATGTTTATATATAATTATATAATTATACGTATGTATAGTTCATATATGAGATGATATGGGATGTTCAATTCTCATGTCCATATTTAGTAGATATCCATAGATATCCCATGTACCGTCCCAGGTCATGGCTGAGGTACCCTCGATGTAGTGACCAAGCACTTCGACCCGTCGAATGCCATAACCTCTGCTCCCAGGAAGATTGGCACGCGTGGTGGCTTGGTTTGGAGTCTGTCTGGGGGCTAGATGGGCGAACCAGGAGTGAAAAATTGATGGTTTATCATGGTTTATCTATAAGTTGTTAGGTGATAGTTTGTTATTGATTGTTTCATCGCTTCCAATTTGTTCATGGAACCTTTTTTTTTGAGGAGTGGTGAACCTAATCACTTGACACAATCAAGGCGTAAGAAGGGCTCAACAAACAGACGCCATCTCTCAAGTGACAAGAGGCTCTTCTTCAAACCGAAACAATCGGGACACGGATTTCCCAGTTCCAGCCGCACGACTCCTCAACAGAAGGCAGCCATGACATGTCGATGTCAATGGTTTCTCCAAGAAGATGGGGATATGATTCTGACGATGATCAAAAAATCCAACAAGCGTTCCCGATTTATCACATCTGAACGGTTGGCATTTGCTTCCGCGGAAAACTCTATTTGCCAGGGCTCAGTAATTACGTTTGATTATTGAATGTTACTTATCTACCTATCTAAATCTATAGATAGATAGATAGATAGATAGACAGACAGACAGATAGATAGCTAGGTAGGTAGGTAGATAGATAGATAGACAGACAGATAGATAGCTAGGTAGGTAGGTAGATAGACAGACAGATAGATAGATAGATAGGTAGGTAGATAGATTGATAGATAATGATAGATAATGATAGATAATGATAGATAATGATAGATAATGATAGATAATGATAGATAATGATAGATAATGATAGATAATGATAGATAATGATAGATAGATAGGTAGATAGATAGATAGATAAAATGCCAGTTTTGCTGGTCTTCAACCCATAAAACGGCCTGTTTCGCCCAGGTCCCGTTGTTGCCGAGCGTCTGGTGGGTTCCTCCCATCCCGGCAGCTCGGTCCAGCCGTTGAAGTCGGCCTCCCGCGTTCGCAGGCCGCGCTGCTGGAAGCTTTGGCCCTGCGGAGAGGTACTCTATGGGTGGAACACGGTGGAACATGATTCAGGATGAGGATGATGAGGATGATGATGGTTAGCTAGTGATGATGAGAATGAGGTGGTGATGATTATGATGATGATGGTGATGATGGTGATGATTATGATGAAGAGATTCTATGTATGTCGTGCTGCAGTGTCAGCTGTCATACTGATGTTGCCCCAAATGCACTAGGATGCACTAGGCATGCGACAACCCGGTGGTCAGGGTTGGTGAGAGATGGTGGAAAGCTACAATGAGGAGTTGCACATAGTTGCACATCGCCAGTTGCATTCCAGCCTGGCCGTAGTCAAAGCTGGACCCTTCAGCACAGAGCAGTGAGAGAACCTTGAGGCTGCTTTTCTTTCCATAGTCGCCTGGGTTGAGTTCGCAACAACTTCGAGATCCAGCCTTTCAACATGAACCGCCCCAGAGCCTACCAAACTTAGAATGGAAATTGAAACCTGCAAGATTGGTTTCTGAAAACGGCTTTCCTACCTGATGGTGGCCGTCCTGTGGTGCATTCAAAGGTTTGGGGATTTGGGGATCATGTGGTCTTTTATTGGCATGTTCCATCTCTCCCTTCCAATTCAATTTTTGGCAAAAATCCTCCCACTTGCCACTGCCAGGAACCATGATCTAGGGGCGGCCAACTGCAAACGAGGCACCCCACCATTTGATCCTCACAGCATCGACTTGACACACCTTCTCCAAATCGATCTCCAGCCACTGCGCTTCAGTTTCTGTGGGGAACCTCAGCTGAGGTCCGAAAGCGGACATGTAAAAAAAAAGAACGACCGCTATCGGCTATCAATCTATCACGCCAAACAAGGCACGCAACATAAAGAGATTTCAAAGACGTAGCATGGGCAAAAGGCCTGAAGTCCCAGTCGCCACCGCGATCTGAGTGAAGGGAACCCTGCTTGTCCTCCTGCTGACACTTAACCTTTTTTCACCCGAGCGCAATAAAATCCCCACTCAAAGGCACGTTTTGTCCTCAATACCTCGTTACCTCATTGGCTCCCAAAAAAACAAACACTTGGCCATGCATGCCTGAAAATTCTGGACCCCCCGTCCGATCGCAGGAACCATTCAGAATCAGTGCCGTCCACCACATGGGCCGCTCGCTCCATGTCTGCGCTGGCGCGTACGGGCCGACTCAGCGAAAGCTCCCGACCGCCTTACGAAGGCCGGGCCGGGAGAATCTGGCTGTGGTTTACCATCTGGTCATGAACCAATTGAAAGTCGCCCGGTAGATGGTTTACCGTTTACCTATTGAAGCAGCGGATTTCCCTTTACTAGATTCATTACCAGAAGGGACAATGAGTGCTCAACTGGCAATTAGAACCCTGCCAAATCGGCCGCCCAAAGGACGAACAAAGTTGGCTGTTGTTCTTGATGATGGACCACTTGTTTGGGCTATGAACCCGCCCCACGGCCCCACCTTTTCTTAAATCATCTTACATGTCGTTGACCTAAACTGCTTGCCTCAAAATTGATCAAAATTGGGCATCCCTAAAATCCAAGTCTTTCACTATAATTGTCCCAATCAACATCCCTCATGTTGTACTTGATTATCATAATACTCCCCGTTCAAAAAGGGTAAAATTGATAGGAAATTGTCGGGGTATGGCTTTATTTTCAACTACACCCACCCAGGGTGTTTATTTTACTTTTTGTTCGTTGCATGCACGCTTTAATCAACTGGTGTGTTTATCAATATCCTCCATCCAAGTTTGTTCAATCATCTGTTCCATTCTGTTCCCTATTCAAACGGCCATACAGTATATCCCACTCCTTTTCAAAAAAACTCATCCAACACCCCGTAGGTTAATCATCATATGCCCCACATTCCCCATATTCTACAGCATCAAAAAAAAAACAGAAAACTTATATAGAAACAATTCACTGCGATTTTCCCGAAACTTTACTTTTATAACATCTGCGTGGAGGTTCCCATTCCCAGCCCCAATTTTTAGAAGATGTTATTTTAAAAAAAAAAAATCCAAATGGTTATGTTCTTCTGAAAATTCAAATCGATCCAAGCCATTCCCAGCTATTCCCCCAGCCCCAGGCCTTGCCAGGGCCCATTCTCTGCCAAGGCCTCCACTGCCTCCACCCTCGGAAGCAGGGACCCAGCATCTGCTGGTCGGATCACCTAGGTGCTCGGCATGGAGTTTTCGTTCGAACTGGGATAATTAAAAATAAATGAGTGAGTGAATGAATGAATGAATGAATGAGTGAATGACTGAATGCATGAATGCATGAATGCATGAATGCACGAATGCATGAATGCATGAATGAATGAATGAATGAATTAATGAATGAATGAACGAATGAATGAATGAGTGAGTGAGTGAATGAATGAATGAATGATGAAAAACAAATAAATAAATGAACAAACAAATAATTAAATAAACAAACAAACAAATAAATAAATAAATAATAAATAAACACCAAAATAAATACATGTATAAATATAACAATATGTGGAGATAATTGCCCTTAATTATCCCAAAATTAAGAAACAATCCACATATTCCAACCATATCAACAATTTTTATGATGGAAAATGACGCGAACGTGAATTTCAAGCAGGAATTGTCTGATTCTCCCTTCCCGGTTATGCAATCTTAGGGTGATATCGGTCTGTAGAAAATATTGGGGGAGAAGATCCGGTGGTTTCATCATCAGTACTTTATAGCATTTTACCTATCAAACAAATCCTCATAACTCATCAACTGGCAACACAATGGGGATTCCAATGGGGTATATCCAATTTCAGGGTCCACCCGCACTGGTGGTGATTTTTGCAGTGCCTCCTTCGCACGTCGCACTTGTCCAAGCCGGGCACCGCAGGAGCTGAGCTCATCCATCCGTACCACAGGGCTGAATACCACCGAAACTGGTAGCCACCCCGGCCACTCAAAGATCTCTGACGCTGGGGATCTGTATACATCCTCTCGTTCACCTTAGGGGGGTCAATATCTTCGAACCAATGGACGATGGTGGGAAGCTTCTCATGCTGCTCTCCCACCACTGGGAGCCTTCAGGATAGGTCTGTGGATCAAACCAGTTTTCTGGCCGGTTTCTGACAACAACCATGATTGGTTCCGATAGCTTGAGCCAACTCTCTCGAGCTCACAACCGATGCCCCTCCTTTCAGCCGAGCGTTCGCCTTGCCTACACTGTGGTACCAACAAGAGCTGCGGGCGGAAACTTCCCACCATTGAATATACGCCTAAAGAGATAGTGGAAAATACATTGGAAATGGGTCACTTTGGATCTAGATCCAAGTGACCCATTTCCAATGTATTCACCTGAACATACCTGGGGTGAAATCCCCCTCACCACCCTTTCTCCCCTTTTTGGTGTTGTCTCGGCAGCACTTGGTAGCCGAGATGCAGAAAGCAAATCTGACCAAACCTCAGCAGGTTCGCACTCTATGGATCTCTCTCTCTCTCTCTCCATCGCCATCTCCAAGCACTCTATGGATACCCTCCGGTAATTTTCAACATATATATATATATAGTAATATATATAGAATATATATATATATATAGCTATAAAAAAAAATCAATCATTGAATAGCCATACCTATGTTAAATTACCAGAGGGTATACATCTGTGTTCTGTGGCTATGGCTCACACTTGCAGACCCCACAGGCGAAAAAAAATGCTGCCATTTTTTCGGCACATGCCCAGTTTTGTTTTGAAAGGATTCCTGGTGATCAATTTCCCATCTTTCTGGTGACATAACCTTTCCAGGGGTCAAATCGGTGAAATCCCATTTGTGCGCCATGGACCCCCACTGGATCCCTGTGTCCACAGGTGGCATCGCCATCTCATGCAGTTGGATGACGCAGAGGTTGTCAGGGCACAGCAAAGCAGCTTCGATCAGTAGCTCGACAGCTGCATCTGGCAACAGCCTCGGGGTAGCAGATTCCCTGCATGTGTTCAACTGCTGCTTTTCGTGTATTGGCTACAAGCGGTTGTAAGGGGGTCTACCTATCCATTGAATCCCAAGTTCTGATTATACTTCATGTATAAATAAAATTAAACGGATCTCTCTCTAGTAGTTTTCCTTGGGAACTTATCAGAATGAACTGGGATTTAAAGGGGTACAAGTATCACCCAGTTGTAGGTGATGTTCCCAGAGAATCCCAATGAGAGATTTGAGTACCGAAGGGCATGTCTTGATACACTGCATAATGCTTCCATCTCCCGAACGACAACCCTAACTCGGGTGCCTTGCGGTTTGGATGCAGGGGATAATTGTCTGTGCAACCTGGAAATCTCTCATGGAACCTACTTGCAATCTTTTGAATTTTGAACATGAGAATGATCTTTAATCCAAACACATTTTCAAAGTACCATCTCAGTTTTCTCGGGAATGTGAGACGTATAATTATATGTATAATTACATCATATCATATGGTAATCCATCATCAAAATCATTCAAAATCCCATGTTTGAAACATATAGAAACAGTAAATCGATGAAAATCCAACAGCAGATCATACTGTACATCGTCATTTTCCCTATGAGAATTGCAATCCTTATTCATGTATCATTGACATCGTGTATCATGGTGTATCGTAAACCCAGAGATAGGATCGCATCACCAAGCGACTTCGCAGCCAGGCGCTTTCCCTCGCTGCAGGAATAATTTGAAGATGCCATCGCTCGCTCGGCCACCTGATTCCGGAAGGGAGGCGTCCCCGAAAAATATAGAAACGCTGAAACGCGTTTCCAGGATGTTATAGAGATGATGTGTCCTCCATCATTTTTGAATATTTTTGAGGCTTCCAACTTGTCTACCTATTATATGGGGTTGCTATAGCCGATTCATCCGAAAAATGGTCTGTTGGTAGATGCTGTTCCCCTTTAAAAAAATGGTAGCCTTGCCCCTTGCCATGTTTACTGGAGGATGCCCAGCAAGTCCCAACAGATCGCCCTCGGTCTGCTACCAAGTGTCTGGAATGATCCCAGCATACTCAGCTATAGGTCCTGCTGACAAAAGATGTGCCGGATGCATCCTAACAAAGTTCTCCTCCAAATATAGGCCAAACATTCAGAAACATCTACCTGTCTACCTGTGGTTTTCGCCTTGCCATATGCATTCATATGCGGCCATCTTTTGTCCCAAACCATCCAACTCTTGGGCAAATGACGGCACATCATTTCATCATTTGGGATGAGTTGTGAGCCCTAAACAGCCTTCACACATCAACTGCCTGGGTCTCCCCACCGAGATGCCGCCAGGTCCGTTGGATCTTGTCATGCATCCTGGACTGATTCCAACCACCTGACGTGCCAGGGGCCCGATTTCAGGCTGCCTCAATGATGACTAGAGATTGGTGATTCGTATCAACCGGGGGCCCCAAACACATCCCAAAAACTGCATCCGGCTGGGCATCTGGTTTTTGCCATTCGCCATTCATGTTGAAATTCCCTTTTCCTCATAATTGTAACATTGCCCATTGGAGGATACCATCTTCACCCATGAGCAGGTGATACATCCCCAGGATGTGGCGGCCCAAAACCGGACTGCGGCTCGGCGGCCGCAGTCATTCTCCAAACGCCACCTGCAAATGAATGTCACAGGCATTCTTGAAAATCTTGAAACCCGTCTCAACAGCCAAATGCCACGCCCTGAAACTACAATACCATGGGGATGATTTGAGGTATTTGGGATTATTTGGGCTTCATCTTGACTCATAATTACCCATCCAATTGCCACTTTCCGAATCTATGAGATGTTCCAACCCACAATTCTACTTTCATCATCATTCATAATCTCACATTAGACAGCAACCTCAGAAAAGATTTCGGAAAGCTCAGAAAAGTGGGACACTTATTTCAATAAATGAAGTAAATATGGTATATCTATGGTATATCCATAGTATACCATATACATATATAATATATATCCATAGTTGTGAAGGGAGATAGGATCCTCCCTAACACACTGGCAGCCCACTGAACCAGACCTTGTCCTCAAGGTGAAGTGAAATGAAGAATTGAAATGAATGGTTTTCCCTGTCTTCCAGAATTGTTGAAGTTGTCCCCAACTGAATGTAAATCGTCTACCAAACCTATGGAGAAGTCCCCAACTCCAAACACTCACAAATGGCTGACGCCGCAGTCGCTTTTCCTCACCGGTTCCTGAGTTTGGGCCCTTGAGCCACAGGTTCACGACGATCGCAAACGGTTGTTTGCCGCATCGGATTCCCCAAGACAATCGAAGGTGGAATTGGACAAATGGAGTTTTCTGAAATCACACTCGTCTATTTTAAGTTTTCGATTGTATTCCCCATGTTTTCACTGGCCCAGGTTACTCCGTATTTTCTGTTTGCATTTTGTTTTAGGGTTAAATCTTCATCGAAGATACGAAAGCGCCCCAATTGTAGTACTGTTCTCATAAGGTTGGCATCCATTACCTTAGTTAAACAGTCGGCAAGCATGATGGCTGTGGAAATCCATCGGCATTGCGTATGGTCCTTGGACTGTTCCTTAAGAAGCATCACCTCTATTGTTGTTCTCCATTCCTGGCAGTTAGGAACCGCATTTTTGGTTACTAAATCATAAAGTGATTTACAGTCTGTAATCATCAGTCCAGGGAGCTCCTGTTTAAGGGCAGTCTCAGGCCGAGACCATGCAAAGCTGGGACTTTTGATAAATCCCCACATGCATCGGATCCACGTCAGTTTGTCCAGGGAGCTGGACATCGCATAGGCTTCTGCACTTAATGTGGACCTGACTACACGGCCTATCTGCTTAGAGTGCCATACTATGGGGGAAAATTCCGTGATCTTATTTTGGCTGAGTTTTTGGGTACATGCCATGATGAAGAGTCCCTGTTGCGCTGACAGCTGTTTTGCACTAGCAAAACTGGCGTCTCCGAAGCTGGCGAAGCAAATCTCCTCCATCGGAATGGATCGGATGATCACCGAAGTTTCAGCGTGGGTTTGAGCCTCTTTCAAAACTCTGTTCCCTTCAAGAAGTGTCTCAACAGTAGCTTGATTGATTCCCTTCTGGAGACTGGCAACGCGAGAAGCTAAATCAGGCCTCGAATGGACCGCGGCGTACTGGAGACTCCCGCAGAGCCCTCTCAGTTGCTGCAGTTCTTGAGCATTAATTAAGCTTTCAGGCTCTGTCCTTCTGGGTTTTGGGATATCAATGGGGGCTATCTTGTGGATATACTTTCCTTGATTTACTTTTATGGAATAGTCAGGCAATTGTTCGATGTCAAGTCCGGTAAACTTAAACCTGCCATATTCCCTGGTTCCAAATGGTAGGTTCTTTTGAAGTTCACCCAAGGCTTTTTCAAAGTGTTCATTACCTCCCCCAATACCATCATCTACATGGGTACCCAGTATTCCATCTAAGATCCTTGGGTCCTTTTTGTTACGTAGAAGAAAAAGGCAGTTGTCGAGGGGATGGGCACTAAAGCCAACATCTTCAAGTCTCCTACGGAATTCCCGATAGAAAAGTAAGGGGGCATCTACTCTCCCATATGCATTTCCCTTTAGGAGGCATACCTGGTTTTCGGACATGCCCAAGTTCACGTAGTTCTATTGGGGTTTCCATGGCTAGCTCTCGGTCGTCAGACCTTCCCCTTAGGAAAGCGGTGGTTATGTCAAAGCTTTGTACCATCCATTGGTGACTTGAAACAGTCTGCAACAGGAGCATCCGTGAGTCTCGGGTCATTGTTGGACTGTCGGAATTGAGCGTTCCAATGTCAGGGTCTTGGAAACCCTTGACCACCAACCTGGCTTTTGCTTTCCTACCGCTCGGTTGTTGCGGATCTTCTTTCCATGTTAAAATCCATCGTGAAGACATGATTCTATTTGGATGAATTCTATCCCTAAGAATGGCCTGTACGGTATTGGTGTCTAACCAACATTTGAGCTCCTTTTGTTTGGCTTGCTGAAACATTTCTTTTTCACCCTTGGTGAGTTCGCTATATTTTACTTCGTTTCGAGACTTTTTGGCTGCCACCGTCAAACACGGAAGAAACGTTTCGGGTTTCTTCAGGAACTTGTACAGCTGTTGCCTAGGCATTTCAAAGGCAAACGAGGCACATGCACTTTCCAGGTCATCATTTTCCGGCCACACAGTGTCATGGTCCTTAACAAAAACATCACTATTGTTTCCATTTTCCATGATGGAGACGTTGTAAACAGGTTCCATGTTTGGAACTTGTGATTCTTCATCAGTCTCGCATGATGCTGTGGAGTCGCTTGTTGGCTCTCCGTCAGTGACCTGGTGGTCATGTCCTTGGCTGTTTTCGGGGATTGAGGAAATCGGTGAGTCAGGCACGGGAGTGTTCGTGGCTTGTATCAATCTCTGCGCATCCAGTGGCAAGTTGCGTGAAGGTCGTCTTTGAGGTTCTTCTTCTGGTTGTCTGACATTGGTATTATCTTGAGGGTTATTAGTAGTATCGGGATTATCTTCAGGGTTATCAAGTGCAGGTGGAACTATCGTACTTAGGTCTAAGTATTGGAATAGTCCACTTCTCTCCCGCAAGTTGTTTTGTAATTTCTGAGACATCTGTTGTAGTTGATGCGGTGATGAAGTTTGAACGAAAGTTGTATGTTGTTGGAATTCTCTCATGGATACTGGTCGAAGATTTTCCTTGGCGCACCTGAGAAGTCTATTCATGTGGGTTATCCAAACAATTGTCCGAGATTCTTGACAAACTATCTGAGCTGGTCCATTCCATCTGCCCTTTTCTAACATGTTTGGGGAACGTCTCTTATCCCAATACATACATAGTTGTCCACATGCCCAAGTATGTGTTTCACCTCTGGAGCGGCGAAGCATTGCTCTTCGGAGAGCATCACTGTTGTCAGCTTGTGCAAAGGCTGATCTTGCCGCGGCGCGCAATTGCAGCTGCTGTTGGAACTTGACACTTGCTAAGTCTTCGTTTTGGCTAGTCAAGTGGGAACTCAGGTCTTCATCTGACACAATGGAAGCTGGCAGTTGAGAGGCACGTCCTAATACGGCTTGTTCGGGGCTATATCCTGACACAACTGACATTGTGTTTTTGGCCTTGAAGCATTGACTGAGGGCCTCATCGAACTTTTCAGGTGTGTCGATTGGCTGATCATGATCTATGCGATCCAACATTTCTTCGATTATCCCACCGTGCCTTTCGATTCTGCCACGCTGCCAGGGTGCAGCTGATAAGATTGGCTTGATGCCAAATTGACACAGCATGTCTTTCCACTCCGCGGTCATGAATTCTCCGCCTTGATCATGCGCTATTTGCTGAGGTGATCCAGCCCATTGAAACCACATACTTTTCATCACTTTGATGGCTTGAGGACTTTCCCGGGTGGTACGCTGGCCTAGGTGGAACCTGGTCGCTTCATCCAGGACATGCAAGACATATGCTTTGAAACCATTTTCACTCTTCCACTCAAAACCGTCTATGGAAACCCTTTCATTGAATTCCTTTGGTTCCTTCAAGTTTCCCGGTGTTGAAAGTTGAGGCTTGGTTCTTTCAGCGCATGATGGACAAACATAGTCTCTGGCTCCTTCGACCAAAGGCAAACGTGCATTCAACTCGGACAAGTGTCTTGCCAGCCTTTCGGCTGTGGGGTGATCTAGATTATTGTGGATCCTTCTGATTTTGGATTGGTCATGTTTGTCCAGTTCCAAAAACTTCGGTCCTGAAACGCTGGCAGTGACTGGCGTCCACGTTGGGACATCTACGGGATTGTCGCGCAAGGGCGTGGCTGTTTTGGGAACACCGTTGACTTCAGTATGTGAGTCCACGGCACTGCTTTCCAACTCGGCGGATGTTGGCCCGGTCGGGCCGTCATCATCTGCAGTTCCAGTCTGTTTTGTTTTGGCAAAAATACACAACATGATATGGCTGGGCTTGGCATGTCGTCTCTGTTGCAGGCGTGATAGTTTTGTCCAATCCTCAGCACCAAGGTCTATGATTTTTCCAGTGAAACGGACTAGAACTATAGTTTGTCGAACTGGAAGCTCGGTTTCCCAGCCTGAGTCAGCATAGATATATCGGTCTAGGCCCTTTCCGGCTTTGATGGCTCCGACATGAAGCTCTGGCAGCCGCTCTTGCACGGCTCGGAACAGCGGGTGCATGGGATTGGTCCATACATTGACTCCAGATTTTGGCAGCTCCTTTTGAAACTCATCGAAAACAGTTTTCCACTTTTCCTCCCATTCAGGTATTTCTACCTCCATGGATTCTGTTTCTGCAGGGTTTTCCATTTTGGCTCTTTTCGCTGGTGGTTCGGTAACATCATCTTCAACATGATATACTGGACATTCTATGGGACCCTTATTTTCTTTGATTATCCCCTTGACTATTGCTTTTGCCAGTTGATTGGGATATCTACTTGCAAACTGAGATACCTGAATGGAGTGACCCTTGCAATTGCAGCTTCCAGCAATTTGTTGGTGATCATGTTTATGATTGCATATCCTATGGTTGACGGGACGTGGTTTGGATCCTCGTCTTCTTTTGCATGGCTTCTGCAGTGGTTGGATGTTTCAAGCCGAATTGACACTGGTCTAACTGAGCTGGCAACGAGTTTCGAAGAAATTCCAAAAGCTCACGCTGCTGCCACATGCTGGAAGTCCATGGATTTTCCAGGTGGGTGTGTCTGCCCTCGGCACTTTGGATCTTAAACAACAGATTGCATAGTCTAAGATGAATACGTGATTCTTCTTGGCTCTTGTGGACTCTCTCAAAACTAGCAGGACTTCGGGCAGCATTGAAACGGTTCCACGCACACCATGGATGGCATTCAGGTGATAGCCATAGGTGATTCGGCCGGTATAGCAAAACGTTCAAAAGCAAATTGCTACGTCCCTCCGCTGTGGACAGATCTCCATCCTCACGGGTGAACCGTCGTGCTTTGAGGCCGCAGGATTGGGCGACACGAGTCAGCTGGCTGTCAGGGTAAGCATAAACGTCCAAAACATCAAGTTGAGGACATTTGTTATTACCCCTCTTTATTAACTTGTAGACATCTTTCAACCACTGGGCTTCTTCTGCGGTGTTCACTTGGGGCTCTGGCTTGACTCGGAAGCGCTGGCTTTCACGGATTGGTGTCCAGGCACTCACTGGCTGTTGACGTTCATGGCTGCCATCTCGAGACGCTGGCGCGTCACTGCGTAGTTTGCGAAGTCCTCGACATCCTCGGACAGGTTGCCAAGTCGGGCCATCACCCACTTCACGTACCCTTGATCTCCATCGTACACCACCTGATAGGTTTTTCCGGGATGTTTCTTTCCCCAGGTGACCTTCTTTTGCCCCCAGGAAGTGAGAGCTTGCTGTGTCAGGGCAACCTGATGATTTGGTGGTATTTGAGCTGCCATTGCTGTCGATGGGCTTCCGGATGGGCGACCACTGATGGGCATTCCAGCGATCTTCGTCGTTGGTCCACGAACTGGACTGAGCGGACTCGGCAGAGTCTTCGGCAACACCATAGGTGGGGAAATGCCGAGGTCCGGTGCAGATTGGGCTCCGGCGACGCTCATTGGTGGTACCGAAGGTACCATCAGCTCCTCCTCCTCGTCCATGATCTCCCAGAGGTCGGTCGGATCTCTTGTTCCGGGTGATTGTGGTCCACTGGAACGGGCTTGAGGGTCTGTGAACCGAATGGCAATGATCTGCCCCAACTCTGATATCTTCTGGCGCTGGGTGCGCACTTCTTGGATCAGACGGTTGATCGGTGTGACATCCTGTTCGGTCACCTGCTCTTCCGGGCTGATCGCTTTGGTGAGTGCAAACAGCATGCAAAAGAGAATCCGCAAACTCTCCAGCACTTCTTCGCTGAGGCTCCTCAGCCCTTCGAAGACTTCTTGGCGTGTTGGCATGATTGCTAGGCTCTGGCGGTGGAAGTCCAGGTGGGGCAGGAAGGCTTGACACGACAAGTGCTGCTGCATTTGGTTTTCTGCTTTCGGTGTCACACAAATCTGACATGCTGATCATGAAAAGTCCATTGTGATTTTCCTTCAGTGGCAAAGACCTATTCAGTTTCTTCAGGTAACAAGTGTTTCTTTCAAGGTCTATGCATGCTCCTAGACTCTTCATTGTTTTGATAGATATCAAGAATGGTGTAGCCTTGGGGACAACTTCAACCAACAACCAAATGCGCTGTTTTCCATGAACCAACGGAATCTGCAGTTGCTTGAAACTGTATGCTATGTGATTGTTACCAAACCTGAAACCTACCTTGCTTGGCACCTCTTTGACTTGCGAACGTATGGCCGATGGCAGCTTTTGCATGACTGCGGACACATGTTCAACTCCAATGACACTTCTGCTTGCTCCAGTGTCAAGGATGGCAAGTCCAGACCCTTTGGTCGACGGGCCACTGACCTGGCTGGTCAGGCATTCAGCTCTACTGGAAAGGCTCGGATGAGCCCTGGGCATCATTTGGTGACTCCTGGTCAGGGATTTATTGTTCATTGTTGACTTGTGGTGACACGGCTTATCCCATTTATCCTTACCCCTCTTATTATACTTACCCATACGTGATTTCAGAAACTCCTGGGCTTGTTGACAGACACGGACAGACAACTGGCAAGGACCGGATGCTTGAGCACTATGTACAACGAAACATGTCTCATGCTTTGAAACCCCAGCCTGTTCGTTCACGGGATCCTCAAAGATCACTTGTGGGAGTTCTTCACGTTCATCACTGTTGCCATCTTCATCATGAACCACATTGGCTGATTCTTTGTGTTGGTCAGATCTTTGTGGACATTCAGCCTTCCAATGGCCGACTTTGCCACAGATCTTGCAGTTGGTGCGGCTAATCCGAGCTAACAGCTCGTCTTTTCCACTGCGATGACCACCCTTGCGAAAACCACGGCCTGGAACTTGATCTCGATGGACACCTTTCCCTTTTCCCTTTGAGGGCCAGAAACCTCTTGACCTTCTTTTCTCATTGATTCGGCTCCGGGCTTCTTGATAAGAAACCAAAGCCTGCTGCAAATCTGGCACCTCTTGCATCATGTCCTCGAAGTCACGTTCGAACTGCTGGATCATTCAAAGCATCCTCATCGCCCGCCTGGGCTAAGGACTCAATCGCCTCCATGGAAAAGGCTTCCTCGTCTTCTGCAAGGGCGTGGAAGGTGCTCTGAAAAGATCCTTCATCCTCTGCACGGGGAGGTGGATCCTCTGGTTCCACATAGTTTGTGGGGTAGATCTTCTTCTTGACGTCACCAGCACTGAACAAAACCCTGGTTGACAACTTTCGCATAGCTTGTTCAATGGTTTTTGTTTTCAACTCACCATTGGTCATGGACAACACTCGTTTCTTGTCCTCATTGGACAATCCAGCCTGGCGAAGCATGATGAATGCCTGCATCTCTTTCAACGTTGCTTTCTCACCTAAGTCATCGAATGCTGCCTGAAGTCGGAGAACATAGCTATGGGTGGCTTCGTCGCTACGTTGAGTGACTTTGTACACAGCCTTCTCAAACAGTTCAAAAGTCTTCAACTCCGTTGTTTCCTCCCATGACGACAAAGCATCTAAGAGGCAGTCGACTCCCGTGTCGGGGTCAGTCAATTTCTTGGGATCTATCTGGCGAACTTGACTCCAGGCAGTCCCTTTGCAAAGCATCGCAAGTCTGGGCGCAAGATTCGGACGATCTTTGGCCGGGAAAACACCGTGCAAAAACTTTGCTTTCTGAGAAAACTCACGAATGTCATCTACACTCGGATCAAAACTTGGAAGTTGGCTCCAAAGTCCAGTGGCGGACTTCTCATCACTGGTCTCGGCTGACATTGCAGTTAACTTTCCGGAGAATCAGTTCGACCCTCTTTCCAGCTTTACGTGCAAAACTTCGGTAGCACGAGCTCTTCGGCTCCGCTACCAGTGTGAAGGGAGATAGGATCCTCCCTAACACACTGGCAGCCCACTGAACCAGACCTTGTCCTCAAGGTGAAGTGAAATGAAGAATTGAAATGAATGGTTTTCCCTGTCTTCCAGAATTGTTGAAGTTGTCCCCAACTGAATGTAAATCGTCTACCAAACCTATGGAGAAGTCCCCAACTCCAAACACTCACAAATGGCTGACGCCGCAGTCGCTTTTCCTCACCGGTTCCTGAGTTTGGGCCCTTGAGCCACAGGTTCACGACGATCGCAAACGGTTGTTTGCCGCATCGGATTCCCCAAGACAATCGAAGGTGGAATTGGACAAATGGAGTTTTCTGAAATCACACATAGTATACCATATACATAATATATATATATGTGTGTATATAATATATATATATATAAATTATATATAATATATATTGATAAATATATATATATATATGGTACATCTATCATCAAACATCATCAAACGACCATCCCGGAAACCCCATGCTTTGCCTTCCGCCAGGTGCGCGCCAAATCATGGCGCAGTGTCCCGGCTGCCCCACGGGCATCGCTGCCACCCCAAAGGCTTGACAGCAGCTGGCGCCAAACTTGGACACCGCGCCACAGACGCCTGGGACGGTGGTGATTCGTTTGGGAAAACCATGGGTTTTGATGGGGAAACCAAGGGAAATCTTGGGAATGGAGGAGGGCCAAAGGGCATCATGGGTGGATCATTATTTGAGATCATTTGGGAATATTAAGGGAATTTAAGGGATATGTTTGTCACAAATGATGCAAGAACTTGATGTGATTTGAAGCGATGTTTGCACGAGATCATGGTTTTTCCTATCAAAGGTTGGGTTTCGACACCAAATTCTGGATCTAAACGACAGAACCTTCCGTAGTTCTGTGAGGATTTGATTTGCGTTGGCCTCAAATGGACAAAAAAAATGGATCAGCCTCCATAGTCAAGGATGCGTGGCATCGTTGCCCTCTGGTCATCGTAGAAACGCAAGCCGTCTTGAACACTGACACCCTTGTCCTTGGGACATTGGAGAATTCACGCAATGCATTCAGAAAGATGCAGAAAAATTCAGAAGGCAGCATCCTGGATTGCAAGTTCTTGGATGTTCTTGGCACGTCCCCCACATGCCTACTCCCGTTCCCTGAGTTCCCAGCATTGAAAGGTTTGTACTTGACCATCTTTGTGGTCTCACCAATGGCATCAGGTTTTCTGAACTCCTGGGACACATTGGCCCGCGACCTCCGCGCCGATGCTCGGGGTGGGACAGAGTCAATCACAGCTTTTTGCACACGCCATCTGAGCATCTGGCCATGCCAAATCCTGGTCCGAATGCCAACTGCCCAAAACGTAGCGAAAATGCCAGGCGCGCAGGGAGCGGAACTCTGGAAAGAGCCGCTGTGCCACAGCATCGGTGCAATATTGCTCGTAACGCCTGAAGAAATCCACAGTGCCTTCGTGGAAGCTGCTATCCAACCTATGGCAATGGCAACCAATGGGCCCATGACTCTGGAGTTTTTCAACGTCATGGGAGTGGTAGTGGATATGATTGATAGTAGCTATTGATAGTAGTAACTATTAATTGATAATTAGTACTTATTGATGGCTAATAGTAGTAATTGAGAGTAGTAACACATAGACATAGTTTTACTATAACAACTGACACATTGAACCACTAACAAACCACTAACATAATAGAATTCGACCATCCCCTCCCATGAGGCCAGGTACATCTCTGACCCCTCCGCCATGCAGAGCGCGGCAGCGACCGCCAGCTGCAGTTGCCACCCGCCACTCAGCAAGTTGGGCTCTGCGGCCAACAGCCTGGGTTCTTCTCGGTGTGGTTGAAACGCCAAGTTGCTTTATCAACTATAGTAACTATAGCGATCATGGAGGGTCATGGCCATGGTTACAACTATATGATTCGATGGGTGGCAACAATGTAACAATAAACTCAAAAATTGGTCAACTTGGGACTAGGGGGCAACAACTTGTGGTCACTTGAGAGGATCCAAAACAAGGTTCTATGGCAAAAATGGGCACTGGGTAATACAAATGCGGCAAACAAAACTGGTGGCAACTCGGAAACATTGCAAACAATGGGTCCGATCCTCCCTTGCAAGCTGAAAAAACATACAGTATGTTTGTTTGAAAACAAGCAGCTGGCCCATGGTGGAGAACTTTAAAGAACTATCCCTGTTTGTATCCCAAGCAAAAAGAAACATTGGATTTTCGCACCGTTAGGATGGTCGTATTCTTCACATTGCCTGTAAGATGTTATTTGTTCAAGAGATCAGGAACAACATGGAACAACTATTCTTGGCAGCGAAGCACTGATTCTAAAATATTACTATTGCCCACGACCCAGCGAAACCCCTGGCACCCTCCACACAGTGCCGCGGCCTGCAGAGCTCCAGTGTGGACATCTTCCAATCCCGGCATCCACCGCTTAAAATCAAGGCCTGGCCGTGTGGATGTGAAAACTAAGGTACCCTTACCTTTATCATAGCTGATCATAATTTCCATTCATGTCCCATATGAAAGTCACCATTTTGGGGTATGCCTCCCATTTTCGCCCCTCAACCGCCTCAGGACATCTTAGCAAAGGGCCTTAGTTGTGAAGAACCCGATGTTTTGGCGGCGTGCGTATGTATGGTATGGTATGGTATGGTATGGTATGCATGTACGTACAAACATACATACATCACATTACATTACATTACATTACAGTGCATTGCATTGCATTGCATTGCGTTACATTACATTGCATTACATACATACATACATACATTACATGCATACATACATACATTACATGCATACATACATGCATGCATGCATACATCCATCCATCCATCCATCTATGCATGCATGCACGCATACATGCATACAATACATACATCCATCCATCCATGCATGCATGCATGCATGCATGCATACAATACTTACATACATACATACATACATACATGCATACATACATACATGCATGCATGCATACATACATGCATGCATGCATACATACATACACACATGCACACATACATACATACATACCTACCTACATACATACCTACCTACCTACCTACATACATACAAACCATGCATACCATACATACGGCCATGCATGCATGCATACATACATTTCAACATACATCCATAAATGCATACATACATGCATACGTACCATTACATACCATTACATTCCATTATATACATATCATCATATAATTATATACATACCATTATATACATATCATTATATAACTTTATACATACTATTATATCATTATATAATTATATACATACCATTACATACATACACGAAGAAGAGCAGACATGATCAAACATCTAACTGCTCACTGCAAAACTGAAACGGGTTTCATATATTATCTGTTGGTATTCTATTTATTCTACATGTTGGGCATGCATTCGCTCGCGCCTAAATCAGGCAGGCTGGCGCTCGGAAGCACTGCAGGCAAGGGATTTCGACCTCGATGCAGCCGTTCCATGGTCATTGTGATGTCGGGTGGTTATCTTATTTGCACCAGCACCAATGGCAATTTGAACCCGGGATCGAATATAATCAACTTATGTAATATTAACCTGAGAAGGAAGGAACGAAAGCCAGCCGCGCTCTCTTATTTTGCCATGTCGCACTGGTAAGCGAGGAGCGCGGCAGAAGGATCAAGGTTGCGTTTTAACAAAGAAGTACTTTCAGGGATGCTTCCCAGCCTCGTTTCCTACATTTGAATCAAAACGAAAAACAAGGAACAGGATTGGTGACAAAATGGATTGCATGAAGAAATCGAATGCAAGAATTGAAGAGGATGAAAAGCCAACAATGATAGAAACATTGTGCTTGTGAAGCATGTCTAAATTACACCGGCATAGACCCCAGATAGAAAAGGTTGGAACTCACGGTTGCCAACGTGGGAACCACAGGTTACCATTGCAAGGAACTGCCGGTTCCCAGAGGTTGGAACTCATGGTTCCCAACCTGGGAACCAGAGGTTACCATTGCAAGCAACTGCCGGCTCCCAGAAGTTGGAACTCATGCTTCCCAACCTGCGAACCATAGGTTACCATTGCAAAGAACTTCCAATTCCTAAAGGTTGGAACTGATGGTTCCCAACGTGGGAACCAAAGGTTACCATGGCAAGGAACTGCCGGTTCCCAGACCTTGTGAAACTTACGGTTCCCAACCTGGGAACCAGAGGTTACCATTGCAAGGAATTGCCGGTTCCCAGAAGTTAGAATTTATGTTTTCGAAGCTAAGCGGCTATCATTGTAAGGAACTGCGGGCTCCCAAAGCTTGAAACTCATGGTTCCAAGCCTGAAAAAGTAACGTTACCAGTGGAAGGATCTGTTGATTGCAAAAAGTTAGACCTCATGGTTCTTAATGTTGTTTTGTTTTGTTTGCTGAGCCGGTAACAAAACCTTTTGTTTTGCTTAATGGACCGGTAGCGGAATCTTTGCGTTTGGCTGTTGGGCCGGCGTAAAAATGTTTTTGCACGAAAAAGGTGCATGCCAAAATGATATGAAAGCAGTTTCTTTGCAACTTTATGGTTTTGCTTAATGGACCGGTAAAGAACGCTTTGTTTTTTTTTCTTATGGACCGTACACCGGATCTTTTTCGTTTGGGCTCAGGCAAGAACTCCCGGTTTCCCAAGTTGGAAGGAGAAACCCTTTTCCCAACAAAAACGGTTGCCACGTGGGAACCACAGTTACCATTTGCAAGGAACGGCCGGTTCTCAGAGCTTGGAACTCCTGGTTCCCAACCTGGGAACCATGGGTTACCATTGCAAGCAACTCCTGGTTACCAGAGGTTGGAACTCATGCTTCCCAACCTGGGAACCATAGGTTACCATTGCAAAGAACTTCCAGTTCCTAAAGGTTGGAACTGATGGTTCCCAACGTGGCAACCAAAGGTTACCATGGCAAGGAACTGCCGGTTCCCAGACCTTGTGACCTTGAAACTTACGGTTCCCAAGCTGGGAACCAGAGGTTACCATTGCAAGGAATTGCCGGTTCCCAGAGGTTAGAACTTATGTTTTCGATGCTAAGCAACTATCATTGTAAGGAATTGCCGGTTGCGAAAGCTTGAAACTCATGGTTCCAAACCTGAAAAAGCATACGTTACCAGTGGAAGGATCTGTTGATTCCAAAAAGTTAAAACTCATGGTTCTTAATGTTGTTTTGTTTTGTTTACTGAGCCGGTAACAGAACCTTTTGTTTTGCTTAATGGACCGGTATCTGAATGTTTGCGTTCGGCTGCTAGGCGGGCATAAAAATGTTTTTTGCACGAAAAAGGGGCATGTTAAAATAATATGAAAACAGTTTCTTTATGGTTTTGCTTAATGGACCGGTAAAGAACGCTTTGTTTTGCTTAATGGGCCGGTACCGGATTTTTTGCGTTTGGCTCATGGCAAGGAACTCCCGGTTCCCAAAGGTTGGAACTCACGGTTGCCAACGTGGGAACCACAGGTTACCATTGCAAGGAACTGCCGGTTCCCAGAGGTTGGAACTCATGGTTCCCAACCTGGGAACCAGAGGTTACCATTGCAAGCAACTGCCGGTTCCAAGAGGTTGGAACTCATGCTTCCCAACCTGCGAACCATAGGTTACCATTGCAAAGAACTTCCAATTCCTAAAGGTTGGAACTGATGGTTCCCAACGTGGGAGCCAAAGGTTACCATGGCAAGGAACTGCCCGTTCCCAGACCTTGTGACCTTGAAACTTACGGTTCCCAACCTGGGAACCAGAGGTTACCATTGCAAGGAATTGCCGGTTCCCAGAAGTTAGAATTTATGTTTTCGAAGCTAAGCAACTATCATTGTAAGGAACTGCCGGTTGCGAAAGCTTGAAACTCATGGTTCCAAACCTCAAAAAGCATACGTTACCAGTGGAAGGACCTGTTGATTCCAAAAAGTTCGAACTCATGGTTCTTAATGTTGTTTTGTTTTGTTTACTGAGCCGGTAACAGAACCTTTTGTTTTGCTTAATGGACCGGTAGCGGAATGTTTGCGTTTGGCTGTTGGGCCGGCATTGTTGGGCCGGCATAAAAATGTTTTTGCACGAAGAAGGTGCATGTCAAAATGATATGAAAACAGTTTGTTTACAATTTTTTGGTTTTGCTTAAATGGACCGGTACAGAACGCTTTGTTTTGCTTAATGGACCGGTACCGGAATGTTTGCGTTTAGTTCATGGCAAGGAACTGCCGGGTCCCAAAGGTTGGAACTCACGCTTGCCAACGTGGGAACCACAGGTTACCACTGCTACTGCTGCTGCTGCTGCTGCTGCTGCATGGGTTACCATTGCAAGCAACTGCCGGTTCCCAGAGGTTGGAACTCCTGGTTCCCAACCTGGGAACCATGGGTTACCATTGCAAGATATTGCAAGCAACTGCCGGTTACCAGAGGTTGGAACTCATGCTTCCCAACCTGGGAACCATAGGTTACCATTGCAAGATATTGCAAGCAACTGCCGGTTACCAGAGGTTGGAACTCATGCTTCCCAACCTGGGAACCATAGGTTACCATTGCAAAAAACTTCCGGTTCCTAAAGGCTGGAACTGACCGTTCCCAACGTGGGAACCAAAGCACAGCACGCTGCACAGCACCCTGCACAGCACCCTGCACAGCAACCTGCACAGCACCCTGCACAGCACCTTTCACAGCACCCTTCACAGCACCCTGCACAGCACCTTTGCGAGACTTCGCCACCGCAGTCTGGATAGCAGCGTGCACAGCACCCTGCACAGCACCTTTGCCAGACTTCGCCACCGCAGTCTGGACAGCACCCTGCACAGCACCTTGCGCAGCACCCTGCACAGCACCCTGCACAGCACCCTGCACAGCACCCTGCACACCCTGCACAGCACCTTTGCCAGACTTCGCCACTGTCCAGACCCTGCACAGCACCCTGCACAGCAATTTTGCCAGACTTCGCCACCGCAGTCTGCACAGCACCCTGCACAGCACCCTGCACAGCACCTTGCACAGCAACCTGCACAGCACCTTTGCCAGACTTCGCCACTGCAGTCTGAAGAGCGCTCGCCCCGGCAGGTCTGGACAGCACCCTGCACAGCAACCTGCACAGCACTCGCCACCGCAGTCTGGACAGCACCCTGCACAGCACCCTAGCACCCTGCACAGCACCTTTGCCAGACTTCGCCACCGCAGTCTGGACAACACTCTGCACAGCACCCTGCACAGCACCTTTGCCAGACTTCGCCACCGCAGTCTGGACAGCACCCTGCACAGCACCCTGCACAGCACCTTTGCAGACTTCGCCACCGCAGTCTGGACAGCACCCTGCACAGCACCCTGCACAGCACCTTTGCCAGACTTCGCCACCGCAGTCTGGACAGCACCCTGCACAGCACCCCTGCACAGCACCTTGGCCAGACTTCGCCACCGCAGTCTGGACAGCACCCTGCACAGCACCTTTGCCAGACTTCGCCACCGCAGTCTGGACAGCACCCTGCACAGCACCCTGGGCTCAAAAGTTCGCCACCGGAGACCCCACCTTAGAGAAGTAAGAACCCCTATAGCTTGCCAGCTATCTGGGGAATAAAACTAACTAAATAAATAAATAAAAAATATATAAATATATATATATATATATCGATGATTAACATGAATTGGCAGAGGAGTGCCTTGGCCTCTTTGTCTGTGGAAGCCAGAAGCTATTTCTTAATTGAATCCAATTTACAGAAACTATTTCCTAAATATATCCAAGTTTTAACATTTTTCTTAAGCAATAACCCATATGCATTAATAAAAAGGAATCCTGAAATAATGCAAGCTAGGCCTTCTAGGGACTGGTTTGAAACGGTTTGGAACGGTTTCGGGCTACTACCTAGCAAGTAGCATGAAACGGTTTGAAACGGTTTCGGACTATTTGATACTTAACCATACCTAGAGACTACTTGAAACTATTTGAAACGATTCGAAACTATTTGAACTTTTTTGCAGTTTTTGCCAAAGCGAAGTAGCAAGTAGCAAGAAACGGTTTGAAACGGTTGCGGGTTATTACCTAGAAAGTAGCGGGGAACGGTTTGAAACGGTTTCTGTGATAACCTTTTAGTGCTTCAGATCACCAAGCAAAACAATAGAATAAGAAAAATAAATATAGTTCAAGTATGTTCAAGTTGACAAATGTAGATATAAATTATGCTATAGTATGAAAGTTGATTACAGATTGAGAAGTAAGTAACCGTGCCTGATTATGAGATGGGGAGTCAAAGAACATGGAATGAAAGAGAATGAAGGATGCCTGCACCAACGGCCTGGCAGCCTTTCTCTCTTGGTGGCAGCATGGTTCACTTGATTCACTGCTATCCTTGTCCAGTGGTTGGGAGTGGTAAAAAGATGGTAAAAGCAAACCTTGTTTTGTGAATGGTTTCTGAGCTTGGTGCCCAGGCTAAGAAACTGTTTCTGGGATTTAAGAAATAATTTCTGGAATTTAATTAAGCAATAGTTTCCAAGATTTAGGAAACAGTTTCTCGAATTT